CCATCCTCTGAGATTTACCGTACTCTTCCTGTGAGAGACGAGATTCTCAAAGGGTTTCTCAATTGCGATCTCGTTGGATTCCACACATTCGATTACGCTAGGCATTTCTTGTCTTGTTGCAGTAGGATGCTTGGTCTTGATTACGAATCGAAAAGGGGCTACATTGGTCTTGAATATTTCGGAAGAACGGTGAGCATCAAGATTTTGCCGGTTGGGATCCATATGGGGCAGATTGAAACTATAAAGGCGTCTGAAGAAACTGCAGAGAAAGTGAAAGGGTTGAGAGAAAGGTTCAAGGGGAACACTGTGATGTTGGGTGTGGATGATTTGGATATGTTCAAAGGTATAAGCTTGAAGTTTTGGGCGATGGGTCAGCTTCTTGAACAAAATGAAGAGCTTCGTGGGAAAGTGGTTCTTGTGCAGATTACGAATCCTGCTCGGAGTTCAGGTAAAGATGTTCAAGATGTAGAGAAACAGATCAATCTGATTGCTGATGAGATCAATTCTAAATTTGGGAGACCTGGTGGTTATAAGCCTATTGTGTTTGTTAATGGACCTGTTAGTACTTTGGATAAAGTCGCTTATTATGCTATCTCGGAGTGTGTTGTGGTGAATGCTGTGAGAGATGGGATGAATTTGGTGCCTTACAAGTACACAGTGACTAGGCAAGGGAGCCCTGCTTTGGATGCAGCTTTAGGTTTTGGAGAGGATGATGTTAGGAAGAGTGTGATTATTGTTTCTGAGTTCATCGGTTGTTCTCCATCTCTGAGTGGCGCAATCCGTGTTAATCCTTGGAACATTGATGCAGTCACTGACGCTATGAGTTCTGCAATGACAATGTCCGACAAAGAGAAAAATCTGCGCCACCAGAAGCATCACAAGTACATTATCTCTCACAATGTGGCTTATTGGGCTCGGAGTTATGACCAAGATCTTCAAAGGGCGTGCAAAGATCATTTCAACAAGAGATTCTGGGGTGTTGGATTTGGTCTTTTTTTCAAGGTTGTTGCGTTAGATCCAAATTTCAGAAAACTCTGTGTTGAAACAATAGTCCCTGCATATAGGAGAACAAGCAGTAGGTTGATCCTATTGGACTATGATGGGACAATGATGGATCAGGATACTCTGGATAAAAAGCCAAGTGATGGTCTCATCTCACTTCTCAATCGCTTGTGTGACGACCCCAACAATCTAGTATTTATCGTTAGTGGTCGAGGTAAGGACCCTCTCAGCAAATGGTTTGACTCCTGCCCAAAACTCGGTCTCTCAGCTGAACATGGTTATTTCACTAGGTACTGCTTAAACGCTTCCCTTTCATCATCTTCTCTCTCATTTGTTTAAAGCTAATACTGTTGTCCTTTTGAATCTGTAATCACAGATGGAACTCTAGTTCCTCATGGGAGACAAGTGAATTGCCTGCGGATTTAAGCTGGAAGACGATAGCTAAACCAGTGATGAATCACTATATGGAAGCGACTGATGGATCATTCATAGAAGAGAAAGAGAGTGCTATGGTGTGGCATCACCACGAAGCTGACCATTCGTTTGGTTCTTGGCAAGCTAAGGAGCTTCTTGATCATCTAGAGAGCGTGCTCACCAACGAGCCTGTAGTTGTCAAGAGAGGCCAGCACATCGTCGAAGTTAAACCTCAGGTGTATATTCAAACTACTAAGAAATTTGCATGCTTGAAATAGCCATTTTTGTCGTCATTGTAATGTTATTTTGGTTTTCAGGGAGTAAGCAAAGGAAAGGTGGTGGAGCATTTGATAGCAACAATGAGGAACACCAAAGGGAAGAAACCAGACTTTTTGTTGTGCATTGGTGATGACCGGTCTGATGAGGACATGTTTGATAGCATAGTGAAGCACCAAGATGTTTCCTCTATTGGTCTTGCAGAGGTCTTTGCGTGCACAGTGGGTCAGAAACCGAGCAAGGCCAAGTACTATCTCGATGAAACCTCAAGTGTTATTACGATGCTTGAATGGTTGGCTTCAGCTTCAGATGGATCAAAGCATGAACAACAGCAGAAACAGAGCAAGATCACTTTCCAACAGCCTATGGGACAATGTCGAAATGAAAGCATAGATCTTTGAAAGGATTTGCTTTAGATTTTTGTGTTGTGATATTAAAAAATTGTAGGATTTGAAGGTTTAGGTTACATGATGAAAGGGTTCTAGGGTTTGTTATCTGCCTTTTGTACAGAGTATCTTGAACTGGTCAATTCGGTTACTTTGTCCCCATGTGAGATGCTTATACATAGAAAGGGAAATAGATATAATATGAATTCATTTCAATTTTGTTTTCTTCTGTCAGATTCAAAAAGAGCGTTAGATGAATAGAGCAGTGCCGCCCGTAAGTTTCTTCTTTTGATTGAAATTTGGGATAGACAGTTTGTTCTTCTTTTGATCCTGATCGTGTCTATTCCCATTGACGTCCTTAACATTTGTTGGTTTCGACGAACAAAGTTGACTTGGGTTTAGGTTTCACTTTCCGTTGTTGTCAAGAGAGGCCATCAACAGTGCATTATATACTTATCAAAACATTTGTTACATAGTTTCAATCTCTGACAAGAGAACACAGTAACTTGATTTGATGGTATGAAATGTAAAACAGAAGGTACCAGTTCATGGATCATACTTGTCAAGCTCGTAAAACTCGATGTTCTTGTATTTTTGGGAGATTATCTCTGCTTGAACCTTTCTTGCAGTATCTGTCGCACACCCGACAAGGATCAGAACAGAGGTGCCTGCAAATCCTCTGAATGCTGTCAGGTGAGTGATCTGTTCGACTACAGCGGGACCAGCAGCTAGAACAGCCAGAAATGCAGAACCAAGAACCGATATCCGACCGAGGACCTGATATTGCAATCAGAGCAAAGAAATTTCAGACAATAGATTAATAATACACCTAAAGTTAGCTTGAAGCAGTTGAGGAAGGAAAGAGAGGATCTTACAGTTTTGATGAAGACAGCAGTGCTTTTACCAGGTCGGACTAGAGGGATTGACGCACCTTGGCGTTTTAATTGTTCACTCACATCGTCCGGGTCAAGTTGCAAGAAAGTGTAGTAGTAGTTGAAGAAAGCTATGAGAAGTATATTGGTCGGAAGATAGAAAGAACCTGCAATAGTTTGTGAGTGAAGTCTTTAGATCTCTATATCATAGGTAAAAACAATTTCAAAGGACTCAATCTTCTTCCTCGATGTGTATTTGGCAAACTTACCTCCAGGGTTTAAAGCAAAAGCAACATTCTTCAGAGCAGATATCCCCGTAAACCGTGCTAGAGTAGCTGGAAGAGCAAGAGATGATGTGGAGAATATGATAGGCATCACTCCAGCACTATTGACTTTGAATGGAAGATAAGCAGATTTCTGAAGCCCGCCGGCTTTGCTGGTGTATCTTGAGGCATAATTGAGTGGAATTTTCCTCTCTGCTTCCTGGAGTATAATACTATCTAAGCATACAAAACTTCTTAGATTCTTTAAAAATGAACAAAATTTGGTATAGTACCTGAACATACACAATCCCGAGTACCAAGAGGAGAAATGAAACAACGATGGTGGCAAGACCAGTATAGTTTCCTTCCTGTAAGGCCTCTGCTGTTGTTCTACCAAATGATGCAGGCAAGTAAGAGATGATACTTGTGAAAATTAAAAGGGAAGTGCCGTTCCCAAGTTTCAGATCAGAGATTCTCTCTCCAATATATGTAGTGAGAACAGAGCCAAGCGTTAATAACGTGACAGAAGAAACCACCCATTCCGTGCTGAAGTCATTGACGTAAGGACGAAGGTAAAACACTTGTCCGATTGCTTGTACTATTGCAAAACCGACTGAAGCGTATCTAGTGTACTGAAGAATCTTTTTTCTACCGGCTTCACCTTCTTTTTTCTGAAGATCTTGCAACTTTGGATAGACCTGAGCAAGAAGCTGAAACACAATCTGTGCGTTGATGAAAGGCACAATCCCGAGAGAACATATACCAAGTCTACCAATGCCTCCTCCGGAGAATGTATCCAAAGTGCTCAAAATGCTATTCTGATCCAAGTTTCCAACAAAAGCTTCTCCATTAACACCACCGAGTGGTATGTATATCCCAAGCCGAGAGAGAGCTAAAAGCCCAAGAAGTTGCAAAAACTTCCCTGGTAATGGCCCCTTGAAGAAATCTCCAAAATCAATGGAACTGTCCTCAATAGCAGCTGATGATTCAAAAAGTGTAAGCATCAATAATATCATGCTAAACCACACAATAAGCTAATGCATATAAAGGTAAACAGACCTGCCACACCCCGACCAGAAGAAGGCTTATCTCGTTTGCTACCAGATGAGCTTTCAAATGATGGAGACAAAAGACTCGAAAAGCTTTCCCAAATGCTTCTCAAACCAGAACTTTCATCTGGATTGATGCCCAAAGGATCGAAAACCGAAGCCTCAGAGCTGAAACATCAACCCCAATCATCAAACAATGCAACAGTAAAGTGATAAATTCCTATCAACAAAAGATGAAAAAACCCTCAAATCTCCCGCAATTCAAGTTCTTATCCATTCATCAGAACGTGGAATCACACAATTCTAGAGAAATTCACATGAAAGTTTCGAACTTTAAGCCGCATTATCTAAAACAGAACCATTACCATCGATTCAAATGAAACCCATCTGATATAAAGATTAAGAAGTACCTTCTAGAGTTGATAACAAGACCAAGATTCCATGATTTGGCTTTAGAACTGTTCCTGGTCTTTGGCGAAACAGACAAGAAGCTAGGTCTGTAAAGAGAAGAGCTTCGATGTCTCGAAGATGATTTGTAGTTGAGACGACGAGACAGAGACGCCAAGTTCGAAGAAGAAGAGTAAGAGGAAACTTCGCTTACCGTTATCATCCTTATCCTTCTTCTCCTTCTCCACAAGAACGATTTCTTCTTTTCTTTTTCATTTCCTTTTTTTTCTTTTTCTTTTGAGTTTATGTTTTTCTCTGTTTTTACAAGAGAAACGTACAGGCCCAGGCCTTTTAGGCCCAATACATTTCAGGCTTCACTTTCAACATATCTTTCTTTACTCTAATAACCACAGCTCCTGTAGACATCGATCCAATGTTCCCTTGGTTAGCTTTGAGACTCTCATTTGATTCTCTGTTTCCTTTGTCTTAACTCCAATGAGACGTGTCAAAAGCTGGAAACTCACCTCAAGCTCAACATAGACGTCAGGGAGAGTACCTATTTCACCAAGGACTTGACCAAGTAGCCTATCACCGCGGGTAAGCGTAGGATCCATGCTCGTCCCGATTCCAATTAGACCTCCCGGGACAGCAAACTGAAGCTCGTTCTGTTCCGCGTACAGCGAAGTTATACAAGTGTAAATAGGACTGCAATTAGTGTTTCCATTCTCATCTTTGCTAGTAGTTTCATCTGGCACTTCTCATGGTCAGTGACATCACAAGTTGGGTTGTCTTCTTTGCCACTTCCAAAGGACCTATATATATAGTTAAAACAAATTACTAAGTTGCTACATGACCTTTAATATATTCAAAAGAATATTGTAACAAGAAGGGCAAGAACTCACTTGTAGCACACTCTGGTCTAGCTAGGGCACATGTCACATTTGTAAATCTTGGCATTTGCATAACCAAGTTTGATGGTAATGTTACGCTCTTCAATTCACTCTTAAACTTAACAGTGTGCACACCGGAGATAGCTTTCACAATTGTCGATTTCCCGTGAGCGACATGGCCAATGGTTCCTGAGTTAGCACCAATTAGCTTCCAATGCACGGCTCTGTTTCTTTAACATCAATGAAACTTAAAACAAAAACACAAAAAGTTTGTGTCTTTACCTATATTAATGGTGGCTTGACGAGAAACGACCTCAGGAGAGAGAGGATGTAGCTGAGATACATCAAGTTTACTTAGATCTTGTTCAGCTAAGCCTTTGTTCTTCAACATCACGATATGTCAGCTAAACACTGTCGGAATGGATCAAAATTCACAACTTTAGCACTAGTCATGACAATAACACATGATGTTTCTAAGGGTGTTCGAAATTAGGGTTTCTACATTATACCCAACGATGGGTTCCGTTCACGAATAGTTTCGATTCTCAATCATCAAGAAACGATCAAAGTACAAGATTTAGGTTTATCAATCATTTTAACTTGAGTTCTCTGTTTATAAGGTTGATTAACACAAATCAATCAATCATTTTAACTTGAGTTCTCTGTTTATAAGGTTGATTAACACAAACCTGAAGGTTGATTAAACAAGTTTTTGCTTGAAGGTTGTTTTTTTTCCGATGATGTAGGGTTTTCTCATTCATTACGCTTATCTTTTCTAGAAAATTTCCCAAAATTATTATTATTATTATTTTCTGTTTCTTACTCAATTTTAATTATTTTATCTTAAATATATCTTTTTGGAAATTTATAACACTTCACAAAATAGGTTTTAAAAAAAAAAAAGACTATATTGTTAGATGAAATTGTATAAGTTTATATCATTTGGATTAGAAGTGATGTATACTGATCATATGTTCCACTTTTTAAAAGTCTAGTTTTTTCTTTTTAATCGAGTTGAGAGTCTTTGAACAATATTATCAAAATGTTTTTTGAGCCTTCACTTGTGTTTGTTTTACAATACATAATATTTTTTTTTGTGCCGACTACATAAAAAGTCAAAATTATATATATACAACGTGACAAATTGGAATAATTTTAGAATATTCTGAAAACAAAAATAATTTTGATAACATAATTTGTAAAATGTTAAGACAGCTTGAAAATTGAATTATTTTAGTTTTTTTTCCTTAGTCCTCTACATTGCTTACTACTTACAACTTGTTAATTATAAAATATTTAAGGACAGTGTTTTAAAAATTGGTCTAGCCGACGGCTAAACCGTCTAAAATTACATGGATAATATTTTTATAATTTCTAACTAAATATATTTAAAATTTAAGTTTTACATCCACATATATAACTATAAATTTTCATATGTTGTTGATAGAAATTAAATAAAAACTTTTTCCCCGCATTCTTTTATGATTTATTACTTGTATTTCTCAAAAATATAATTTTACATAATTTTTATCTATAATACCATACATATAATGTTTTATGTTGTAAACGCTTAAACTGCGTAAAATCGCCAAAATCCTATGGTGCTAATCAATTTTTTTAAATTAAATTTTCAAAAATAGTGCTTATGTGTTGCTTATAATCACAACTTAAGCTATGGTGCTTACAATATTTTCTTTTTTTATGATTATAATCATTACATATAATGATAAGATACATTAAGCATCTCCATTGGAGGTGCTCTAAGCATTGGGTTACCACCTAACTTTCTTGAACATTGCTTATAAACTAATCATTCAATCAAATTAAAATATTAACCAGACCAAAAAAAACACTTTTGTAACAATGTAAAAATTCGATATGTTTTTTTAGTAATAATAAGAACTCTCACACTTACACTACCATCGTAAATAAAAGATCTTAAAACCCCATTTTTTATCAGCCACCAGATTTTGTTCTTCCTCTACCACATAAAGATGTTATCATCAATGAATTGACCAAAAGTCTTTTAAAAAAATTCTTTGGTCACAAAACATCATGCAATGAAGAAAGTAGTAAATCTTTATTTTTCTTCCTAACAACTTTAAATACTATATTAACCAATACGACAAGTAAGAAATAAAAAGAAGCATTGAGGAAATTTAGGTGAGAATTGAGGAAGAAGAAGAAACAAAAAGATCCCAACAATGGGAGAGAAGTGTAGCTTTCATTGTCCCCCTTAATTTTCTTTAGTGGGTCATTACCATATTCTGTGGAAGATCCACTAATGTTAATGTCTTTTTCTTTTAACAATTTTACAATTGATGCCAAAAAAATTTACTTGTGTAAAATTACGAAAACACCACTTCTTTCTAACCTTGTTAATAATAAAAAGAAGAAGAAAATTGCTTTTCTTCTTATGGACAAGTTGGAAAAATATTTTTAGATGGAGGAAGAAATCAATAATGAAGTGAAATAATAGGAAAACAAATCATATTGTATCTAATCATGTTCTAGCCAATGAAAATTATTTTTGAATATCATATATAATGGGAATTAGATCTTATTCTAACAATGTCTAAAATTAATTAATTATTTTGCTTTGCTTTTCAAAATATACCATGATTTTTTAGCTATTTTAGATACCTAAAATAAATATATCCTTTAATGTTTTTTCATTTTTTAAATCATATAACGTTTAACCTTACTCAAATAAAAGATCCCTATATTTTAATCACAGAAAATAATGCTATAATTACACAATCTCTGTAAGTTTAATCTTATTATTTAATGAAAATTATTGTAGGATTGAACTTTTTATCAGTCACTTTCAAAATGTCAAAACTATGTTGTTTCCACCAAAAAATATCTGTCAAAATATAAAAAGAATCAAAAGATATACAAGAGTGGCATTATCGTTAATAACATAGAATAGTATGGGTAGTTTTATGACGTCACAATACAAACCAACCGTGTAATTTCATTTAAATAATCAGACACACGTTTTTCTTCGCTGTCTTGGAAATTATCATTTTTATTTAAAAAAACCAAAAAAGACAAGAAAATACAAACTGTCAACGAAGATTTTATATTGGTTGATTTCAAAAATCTCTCAGAGAAGAAGAAGACGAAGAAGAAAATAAAAACCCAATTTTTATTATCTGGGTTTCGAATATTCCTGTTTTCTCCAATCACAGGACGAAAAAGTAATCAACTTTTTTCTTATTTTGTTTGGTCGTCGTCGTCGTCTTCTCCGGCGAGAGCGAGGCAATGGACTCTCCGGTATCAAAAAGCGATGCGTCGAAAGAGAAATTCGTGGCTTCACGGCCATCGACGGCTGATTCAAAGGCGATGAGAGGTTGTGGACTCGCTAATCTGACATGGGTTGGTGTTGATAAAGTGGAGCTTCGTCAGAGGCTGATGATGCCTGAGTACATCCGTCTCGCTATGCGTGACTGTATCAAACGGAAGGATTCGTCAGCGATTCCTGATCATTTGCTTCTTCCTGGTGGTGCTGTTGCTGATATGGCTCCTCATGCCCCAATGGTTGTTTTCATTAATCCTAAATCTGGTGGTCGTCATGGCCCTGTGCTTAAAGAGAGGCTTCAACAGTTGATGAGCGAAGAACAGGTTTTTGTTTTGCTTTGAATTTGCTATTTTCGAATCTTATCTACTTTAGAGAGTGTTTGTGATTGAGTTTTAGTGTTCTGTTTTGATCAGATCTTGTGTTATTAAAGTCTCTGACTTTTCAGTGCCTGGTTTATGTATTCATGCTTAGCTGATGTTAGATCTATTGCTTTGTTTGAATTTGGAAGGATGAGTTATGTTCAAAGGTTGAGTCTTTTGGAATTCTGAGTTGATTTGGACTTCTTGTAAAGTTTTTTATGATTGAACTTTGATATTGGAACATGATGATGATTCTTTGTGTAAATACAGGTGTTTGACCTTACGGAAGTGAAACCTCATGAGTTTGTTCAATACGGTTTGGGGTGTTTGGAGAAAGTAGCAGCGGAAGGAGATGAATGTGCAAAAGAATGCAGAGCAAGGTTGAGGATTATGGTGAGTACACAACAGTATTTTTTAGTTTCATGATCTTTACGTTTTAAGCAATTAGAATGTGAAATGGAATTGGTTTGATAGGTTGCAGGTGGTGATGGTACTGTTGGGTGGGTTCTTGGATGTCTTGGAGAGCTTAATAAAGAAGGAAAGTTACCTATTCCTCCTGTTGGTGTTATCCCTCTCGGTACTGGGAATGATCTCTCAAGGAGTTTTGGTTGGGTGAGTGAGTCTTTGTTCTGTCTTATGTTGTTGTGACAAGTCTCTTGCATTGTTATTGACTATGATTTTTGGCTATGTTTTCTTCAGGGTGGTTCTTTCCCTTTTGCATGGAGATCCGCTATTAAAAGAATACTCCATCGCGCAAGTATGGGTCCAGTTGCTCGATTAGACAGGTAAAGTCTTATTTTTCCACCAAACAGTTAAGCTTTTATTATATTAGCTGTGTTATTAAACTGTATGTATGGTGTTGCAGCTGGAAGATTTTAGTGTCAATGCCATCTGGAGAAGTCGTGGATCCTCCTTATTCTTTAAAACCCGCCGAAGACAATGAACTAGATCAGGTTTGGCTCTATTTCCTTAGGCTTGCTTCTTCTCATTGAATCATCAGCATTTGCTTTTGTAAATTGCCATGATCTAGCAATTACCAAGGCTTCTTGTGGTTTCAGGGTTTGGACGCGGGAATAGACGCGCCTCCACTGGCAAAGTCTTATGAAGGCGTTTTCTACAATTACTTAAGCATAGGTTTGATGCACTTTTCATTTTGATATCCTAAAACAATTTCATAGTTATTTTTGTGACCATATTCTAATGTTTGTCTTGTTTGTTAAGGTATGGATGCTCAAGTTGCATATGGCTTCCACCATCTTCGCAACACTAAACCATATCTTGCTCAAGGACCTATTTCAAATAAGGTTTGTTTATTATCTATGATCTTCATCCAAACTTGAGTCTCATTCGTTGTCTTTGTTAGAAGCTAAAGCAGTTGTGTCGGTTTGAGAAACAAGATTAGTAACCACAAAACGTTTGTTTTTGCAGATTATTTATTCAGGTTTTGGTTGCACTCAGGGTTGGTTTTGCACGCCTTGTGTCAATGATCCAGGTTTAAGGTTCGCCATTTTCTGCTCTGACTGTTGTTCTTGAACTTGTTTGTAAGTTTTTGCTTACACTCCTTTATGTGTTGTTGACACCTTATCTGTACAATCTGAATTTGCAGGGGACTTAGGAACATAATGAAAATCCATATTAAAAAAGCCAATTGTTCTGAATGGGAAGAGATCGCAGTCCCGAAAAAGTAAAGAAAATATTTCTGATATATGACTTTACCTATTACTATCTATGATCTCAATGCTTAACCCCAATGCACTGATCTTTCTGTAGTGTAAGATCAATTGTCGCATTGAATCTTCACAGCTATGGAAGTGGAAGCCATCCGTGGGGTAATCTAAAGCCGGACTATCTAGAGAAGGTATTGTTTCTGGTTCATTTCATCGTAAATCAACTCAATTTTCTGATGCTAAGGTGAATGTTTTGTTCTTGTTTTTCCAGAGAGGATTTGTGGAAGCACATTGTGATGACGGTTTGATAGAGATTTTTGGTTTTAAGCAAGGATGGCACGCGTCATTTGTCATGGCTGAGCTCATCTCTGCAAAACACATAGCTCAGGTAACTTAAAAAAGAACAGTGGTCAGTGTAGAATCTTTTAGCCATGGTTCTAACTGAAAGGTTCAATCTTTGGTGATCATTTCAGGCTGCTGCGGTAAGATTTGAGCTAAGAGGAGGTGACTGGAGAGACGCGTTCTTGCAAATGGATGGCGAGCCATGGAAGCAACCAATGAGCACCGATTACTCAACATTTGTGGAGATCAAGAAAGTTCCTTTCCAATCTCTAATGATAAATAATGAATGATTTGAGATTCAAAGCTGGATTCTTTGTACAAAGCTAATTGTTTTGTATTTGGATTTTATTCAGTTAGTCATAGATATAGCCTAAGCATTTTAGTCTTCTTTTGTTTTAAAATCTGAGATTGTGACTTTTGATTATTTATGCTTGTTGGGTTTTGTATATTTATGTGTTGTGAGGAATGAAGTTTGTTTATTATTTATAAGAATGTGAGATAATATTTTGATCAAGATTCATTCTTTGTAAGTCAAGATTTGAGCACACCTTTGTAAAATGTATTTGACAAGTGAAATAACACCATATTCAAAGTTGGGACAATGTGATTGAAAATTGGAACAAAAAATCGTAAATACCTTTAATGAATACACTATCAATTTCGAGATTTGGTCATTTTTGTGGCTTCTATCTAGGTGTGAATAGTCGTATTGTGTACAAAATTACTGTATTCGGAAAAAAGTGTTAAGAACTATGATTCGTTTTATTAATCCCTGGAGACTATAGATATTGGGCCAAAATTGTTATGGGGCCAAAATAACATTAAGAAATTTAGCGAGGACCGATAACGAATTTTAAGAAAGATGTTAAAAATAGAACTCGAGAGAGAGAGACAAACGCAGTGAAGTCTTGGTTCTTTTTCTTTTAGGGTTTTAGATTTCGTCTCTCAGAGAACTTTTTTTTCCCGAAAGCTTCAGAGAGATTTCCAACTTCGGCAGCCATGGCGAGCACCAAAGTTCAAAGAATCATGACACAACCTATCGTACGTTTCTTCTTCTTCGATTTCTTTTTGTAATCTTTTATCTTTTCGTTTACTGAAACCTAATTGTGCCTTTTGTTTTCCGGTGGCTTCGCGACGGCTCCAGAACTTGATTTTTAGGTTTCTCCAAAGTGTAAGCTCGCCAATTTCTTCTGATTTGGTTTTGTATTCGTTGCGTGGATTAGGTTATTTATTTTCTCTGATTCGTGCTCTGATCTTTTGTATTTGTGATGCAGAAAGCTAGGATCCAGATTTGGCTTTTTGAGCAGAAAGATTTGAGGATTGAAGGAAGAATCACTGTAAGTCATCATATATTGCTATGAATTTGTTGATTAGATTCCTGACTTTGGGGTTTGTAACCTCCGAAAAGAGTGGATAATGAGCATTGTGACTATCTCTTGAATCTAGTCTTTAGGAAAGAGTCAATAGATTGGGGTAAGTGGACTTGTTTAGTTCAGCCGTAGAATCGAAAACGGATTTGTTGACATTGATAGTTGTCACGGTTACTACTGCACAAAGCACTGATAGGCCTGTGTATAGAAGAGAGAAACTAGTTTGATTCTTAGGGATGGTACACGCCATGTTTTGTTCAGAGAACTTGAGATGTATGTTGTGTTATTCTCATTGGCTTTTAAACTTGGAGTTGCTGACTTGAATTTGGTTGTTCCTTGTTAAGATTCAAGCTTTTCTTAGGCTAGTTCCATTCTAAATTGTAGAAGTTATAGATTTGTGGAGTAGCCTACTTGACTTTGGTTGTTCCTTGTTTCGTTATTATTCCTGGGTTATGATTGAAGCATTGTAAGGTTGATTCTGTGTCAACTAGGAGAAACTGGATATTTGTTGTGTCACTCTTGTAGGTTTTAAACTTGAATTTTGGGTGTATTATTGATTCTTTGTTTCAATTACTCTGTGTTTGCAGGGTTTTGACGAATACATGAATCTGGTGTTGGATGAAGCTGAAGAAGTAAGCATCAAGAAGAACACCAGGAAACCACTTGGTGAGTTATCCTGGACTCACTATTTTACAACAAGTATTGTTACATTTCTTGGTTTTGTTTAGTTGATAACTCTATCTTAATACCTATTTTCAGGAAGGATTTTACTCAAAGGAGACAACATAACTCTGATGATGAACACGTAAGTAGTAGTAACACAATCTCTACTCTATCCTTTCTCCTTGTGATGTAGCAACTTGATTTGTCAGATAACAAGAGACTGAAACACAATCGTTTCTGTGATAACAGGGGAAAGTGATGTCTGTCTAAACAAACTCTACCCTGGATTCGTAGATCTCGAGCTTTGCGATGACCTTCAAGCTTATGTTAAATATATGTTGAGTTCTTCCTCAGTTTAATTGATATTTGACAATGCCTTCCTCAATGTCGTATTATATTACAATGTAGTGGCACCATTGCGAAGCTAGTGGATTGGTTCAAACTTCAAAAAGAGACCTTTTCTCCCTTTTGGTTTACTGTAATGTGGAGTTTTCTTTACTTATCGGCATAATACTTATGTTTTAGAGTATCTGTAATAGATGAAAATGGAATTGCTTCATAATTCATCAAATTACATTTGACTAATCTTTGTTGCACATTTTCAATTTATTTTTTTTCTGATGAAATTTAGCTAAGATTTGCTTAAACATTTAAAAAATTAAAACCATTTGATTTTGACTAAAATAATTGTACCACTTATGTTTGTTTGGTGAACCGACCGAGTATGACCATTCTCAGGCTCAAGTAGATTGAAGTTTATTATTTTCATAGCCCAATCAGAATAATCTATTAAAAACTTTAAAATAGAGAATTAAAAAGATACAAAAATGTACATGAACTTTAACTTTCTCATGCAATTAGGTTTTTTATATTCATGTAATCTATATACAAAAATGAACATGAACTTTAACTTTCTCATGCAATTAGGTTTTTTATATTCATTTAAATTTTTGAAAACGGACGTAGTTAACTCAATCAATAAAGAAAAAAATATATGTACAACGTCTACATAAGATAGACAATTTTAGATAATAGTTCAAAACCTTTATAAATAAGATTAATTTGTTTACAACTACAAATGAGCATGAACTTTGATTTCTCAAGTATCCAAATTAAAACTTTTATTAGCTTAATTTTCTAACAAGTTTAAAATGTGATAAATATTAAAACTTTAAAAAGCTGAAAATTCTGATATTTTATTTAATTTTTATAGAATATTAAAATAATGAAAAATATTTAAACTCTACAAAAATTAAAAGTATTACTAATATTTTAACTCTACAAATATTTAAAATATAATAATATTGGACATATTATGATTGAACGGGTTTTAGTTTACATAAATATGATTATATTTTTCTGCGGGTTGTCTATATTTAAAATCTTTTACAAGTTAAGTTAAAATATAATTTTTTATTTACAACAAAATTGTCTCGCGATGTACCGCGGGTTTAGCACATATATCTATGAATTTACTTATAATACAAATTTATAAAATTATATTAAATTAAATAAAATAAACATATACAAACTAAATTATATATATCAACTACGAAAATGATCAACCAAAGAAATATATTAAATAATGGACCCGTGGTGTACCACGGGGTAAATTCTAGTTATTTTCATAGCCCAATCAGAATAATCTATTAAAAACTTTAAAATAGAGAATTAAAAAGATACAAAAATGTACATGAACTTTAACTTTCTCATGCAATTAGGTTTTTTATATTCATGTAATCTATATACAAAAATGAACATGAACTTTAACTTTCTCATGCAATTAGGTTTTTTATATTCATGTAATCTTATATTATAACCCATGTTGAATCTTATCTCTAATATTGCTATTGGTGAAATGATGTGTGTTGTTGTACTATTATAATTTTTTAAAAATGAAATGACAAATATAAAAACTATAAAGTATTTATCAACTTTAGAATATAGCATGTGCTAAAAATACATACACTAGCCGCCGGCCCGAGACTGACGTCCAATAAAAGAGCAGAAAAGTGACGGCAATTTAAGCTAACTGTAGTCTTGTCCGTAGGGGATAATTGTCTTTAAATTTACTAAAACAAGTCAAAGTACTCGACTAATCACAAAACTCGACAAGTGCTTCAAGTAAATTAATTTTGATCCGCGTCCTTTTAATTTTTATCTCTCTCTTTCTTCTTCTATCCAAAACATCGTTTTTGAGGTATTTTTTTTTCTCTCTCTCCTTCTTCGAATCGAATTTTCAAAGTTTCTCTTTTGGTTTGTGTTTTTGAAGAAGCTTAAGTAGACAATCATAAATCTTGCTTGGTGGGTTTGAATTGTTGTGGTAAAGTTTTGATTTTTTTTTTTTTTTTTGAGTTTGAGAGCTGGATTTGTGATTTTTGTTTCCTTTTTTAATCTGGGTTGGTGAAGTGTTTCACTTGAATCGATCTTTACAGATCGGAGCTTCTGGTAGCGGGAAAAAATGCAGACGAGGTATATGGAGAGGACTAATAGTATGAGAGAGAAGAGAAAATTGGAAGAAGATGATAATCAGCAGCAGCAGCCTGAGCGTAAAAGGCCAGCTCTTGCAAGGTAATTTGTGTTTCTGTTTGTTTTTAGAAGATTTTTGCCTCTGTTAAATCTGCAATTGATTGTAAGGGTTGGGGATTTGTAGTTGTATGAATGAAAAAGGAAGTTTTTGGGTATATTGATTGTCTGTGGATGGAATTGAGAAAGTTATGTATGTAATTGCAGTGTAATTGTGGAAGCCTTGAAGATGGATAGTTTACAGAGGCTTTGTTCGTCTTTAGAACCGATTCTTCGCCGAGTGGTAAGCTTAATAAGGCTTGGTTACATGTCTTTTGGTGTTTCTGTGGCTTACTGATTTGTCTTGTGAGCATTGTTAAACAGGTAAGCGAAGAGGTGGAGCGGGCATTGGCGAAACTAGGCCCTGCGAGACTTAGTGAAAGGTAACATATGACAGTTCTGGGAAGAGATCAAGTTAATGGTTGGAGTAGTTGTGCTTTTTCTAATGATTGTGTTCACAGGTCGTCTCCTAAGCGAATTGAAGGTATCGGTGGAAGGAATTTGCAGCTGCAATTCAGGTCTAGATTGTCTGTTCCTTTGTTTACTGGAGGGAAGATAGAAGGGGAGCAAGGTGCTGCAATCCATGTTGTGCTGTTGGATATGACAACTGGACATGTATTGACAGTAGGACCTGAAGCTTCTGCAAAGCTCGATGTTGTTGTGCTTGACGGTGATTTCAACACTGAAGATGATGAAGGTTGGAGTGGAGAAGAATTTGAGGGCCATTTGGTGAAAGAGCGTCAAGGAAAGAGGCCTCTCTTGACCGGTGACGTACAGGTTACCTTGAAAGAAGGGGTGGGAACACTAGGGGAACTTATCTTTACAGACAACTCGAGTTGGATAAGATGCAGAAAATTCAGGCTAGGTCTAAAGGTCTCTTCTGGTTACTGTGAGGGGATGCGTGTACGGGAGGCAAAGACAGAAGCTTTTACCGTTAAGGACCATCGTGGAGAGTGTAAGTTCTTGCTTTTCTTTTTTCCCGATTTCTATCCTATGATATTGAAGTGGTCACTGTTGTATCTGAATCTTTGCTTTACTTTTGCCTAATGGCTCTTTTCTACAGTGTACAAGAAACATTATCCACCTGCTTTGGATGATGAGGTTTGGAGGTTGGAAAAGATTGGAAAGGATGGGGCTTTCCATAAGAAACTCAATAAAGCAGGAATCTATAATGTTAAAGAATTCCTACGTCTTATGGTCAAAGACTCTCAGAAACTAAGGACTGTGAGTGCACGATTCCACTATCTAGTATCTTAACAAGATGTTGAAATGGTCATCATGATGACTCTTATTCTGATTTTTCAGATTCTTGGAAGTGGCATGTCAAACAGGATGTGGGAGACACTTGCAGAGCATTCCAAGACATGTGTTTTGAGTGAAATGCTTTATGTCTACTATCCTGAGGACTCAGTTGGTGTTGTTTTTAACAATATATACGAGTTTAGTGGTCTTATATCAGGGAAGCAGTATTATTCTGCTGATTCTCTTTCTGACAATCAAAAGGTATGTTTGTTGGGTCTTCTGCTTCTTATAGATTCATGTTTACTTTATCGTATACTCGGAAAATAGTAAAAGGTTATATGTAATGCAGGGTTACGTCGATGGACTGGTGAGGAAAGCCTATGAAAACTGGGATCAAGTTATTGAGTATGACAGCAAGTCACTTATGAACTTCGATCAAGTTGGCAAAACAGATGCTACTGATTACTCTATGCCAGTTTCAGTTCCAAGCCAACCATCTACATCTTATTCAGACGTAACTGTTGAAGGTAAAGGTTCAGTTGCCACAACTATCAAATCTTATTTCTCTTTTGGTGTGAACCGAATTTAACAGTCATGCATTGGGGGTTTTCAGCATCTGTATACAACCAGAGTCCGGCATCAAGTTTCCCGGGTCAGTCCCAGCTAGCTGATACTACTACATACATGCAATTTGGAAACTCTTCATATGCACCACAAGACCAGCTAATTAACAACACTCATGAATCACAAAGCATGATTAATAGCAACGGTGGTGTGAGATTGGCGCTTGGTCCGGCAACAGGATCCCAAAACCAACAACAACTGGTTCAGCCTCCTCCTGAGATTAACTCTTACAATGATTGGTCAAATACATGCAACAGAGGAGTTGATGGGTTCTTATCAGAGGAAGAAATTAGGGCTAGAAGTAATGAAATGCTAGAGAACGATGACATGCAGCAACTGTTGAGACTCTTTAGTATGAATGGTGGTGACCAGCAAACTCCAATGAACATGGGAGAAGATGGGTTTGGGTTCCACTCCTTTGGTCAGACATCCATGGCTGATTACGAAGAGGACCGTTCAAACTCGGGAAAAGCTGTTGTGGGATGGTTAAAGATCAAAGCAGCGATGAGATGGGGATTCTTCATCAGAAGGAAAGCCGCGCAGAGACGGGCACAGATTGTTCAACTTGATGATGACGACGAGGAGTAGGTTCCATAAGAAGGAAGAAACATGAATCTGAGGGTTTCATTCTGATTTCTGATGATGGTTTTTTTTAACAGTTTCCCAGAAAAAGAAGTCTTTTGTTTTGGATTCTTCTTCTTGTGGAGCTTCATTTTGTATATTCTTGTCTTCTTGTTTGTGCTTGTAATCTCTCTCTACGTGACCAAAGCTTTCAAGAACTAAAACAAACCTGATGTAATTCTCTGTATTGCATAATTTTCTCTGTTGTGTTCCTTCCTTTGGGTATGTTTGATACTTTTATTTAGAAATATATTTTTATTTTTGGAGGAATTCATCTTCGAACTATGTATTACTGAAATTAAATATTTTAAACAAAATCATCCAAGTATCCAACACAAAAGAAAATAAAAATAATGTTTATTTTCTTTCCAATAAACAGAAACAATTTTTGTAATTTTAAAAAAACATTTAACCAAAATAGTATTTTTTTAATCCCTTCATTACCGTTTTCAACATTAAAAAAAAAAACATTTTTCTTGAATAATTCATATCCACACTGATCAAACTGATAAAATTTTCACCAAAAAAATATATCAAACTGATAAAATAGATTGGACATGTTCGTATTATAATCACAAACGGCTTCGACTGCAATTTTAAATTCTTTAAATGTTATTACTTTCACAATGACACAACTAATTACTATAATTAATCGCAATTAAAACATCGTATCATTTTTTTTGCGATAAAAAATTTAAGTCGCACCAATCAATCTCACAAAATAAAATTTTATTATTGTAAATTTTTTTATCGCCAAAAAAAACAGCAACATGATTTTTTAATTTAAATTTTTCTAATTTGAAAAACCATTTGCTCAGAATAGTATTTATTTTGTATCCTTCATCGCCATTTTGAGATTTTTCAAAACTATTTTCTCGAATAATTCATATACATCTACACAATTTTACAACATTGTACAAATAGAAAAAAATACAATTAAACTACAATTAAACTGATAAAAATGTGGAAGCTCCCTTAGTCTAGTGGTTGACGAAGGGTTGTTTAAAATTTCTACACCAAGAGGTCTGGGGTTCGACGGAGATAAACTTATCGGTAGTAGAATCGTTTTTGTAACAATTCTCATAATTTGCAATAAATAATAAATCAAGAGTTAAAAAAAAAAAAAACTGATAAAAATAGAAAAAAAATCATTATTGTATCTACAAAATAAAATACATACATACACAAAAGAAACCTATATAAGAATAAAAAAAAATACATATGTGTTTCTCAATTAATCTTCACATCAATTCTTTCAACTTTTTTTGACGGAAACAAACAGTTTCGCCTATCGCCGATTAGTGAGTTCCTCAAATTTCCGACCTAAAACTTCGTACTGGTTTTGATGTTTCGTTTTTTGATTTTAATCTTAAGGTTTGTTCGTCAATCAAGCTAAGAGAAAACAATGTTGGACTTATAGAAATCGAACATAATTTCGCTAATTTATTTTTGGGAATTTTGGGGGAAATTAGAAGTCATTACCCATCATCTATAGATTGCGTACCATGTGTTCGATGTAATGATTGAAAGAGATTAATTTCTGGTGATTGCTATGTTTTAGAGGCAGTGGAACCTGAACTTGGGAAGATTTTGAAAATTCTGGCGACTTGATTCAATGGAGGAAGACGAGCATCAGCTTTTGTTGAGTAGCTTAGGTGTTACTTCAGCCAACCCTGAAGATTTAGAACAGACCATACTCGATGAGGTAATATTTTGCTTCTTCGTTTTCTTTCTTATGGAAGGGTTTAGAGTCATTCATGTCTGAAGTATTAGCATATACTCTTTTGGTAAGGCGACGAAGAAACCAGATCACGATGAAGGTGGGAGTGTAGAGGAGCAGTCTGTTCAGCTTCCATCCAGCCAGAGCGAGCTTTTGAATAAATTGAGAGCTGTAAAGTTTGAAATAGATGCTGTTGCTTCAACTGTTGGGCATGTGGATGAGATTGCAGCTGAAGATGGTTTACAGAAAGATGATGAATCAGATGTTCAGGGGTTGCATAGTAGCTCTGTGCTACAGCATGCACTTGCCACAGACCGTCTAAGAAGTCTTGAGAAGAGAAAAATTCAACTAGAAAAGGAACTCACTGCTCTACATGGTCAGAGTGCGTCTACTAGTGCTGATCGCGATAAGCTACTGCGAGAACTGGTGAAGGAGAAGAGGCCTAGTCACAAGAGGAAATTGAAAGAGATTCGTAAACCAAGCAGAAGAGAAGGGAAGAAGGTGAAAGTAGTCTCATTTCGTGAGGACACAGATTTTGATGCTGTTTTCGATGCTGCTTCAGCAGGTTTTGTTGAAACGGTATGTTCCAGCTGTCTTTTATAGGTTTATATAATTTACCGAATCACTGTGAGATTATGCACTCTAAATGTGGGTATTGGGTATGGAAAATGCATATATGAAAGACAGTGACTAATTTCAAATGTATTCTTGTCTAGGAAAGAGATGAATTGGTGAGAAAAGGAATATTAACTCCTTTTCACAAGCTCGACGGTTTCGAACGCAGACTTCAACAGCCTGGACCGTCAAACTCGCGCAACCTGCCTGAAGGAGACCACGGAAATGAGGACTCCGTAAGTATTGATAGAGTTGTCCAATCAATTTCGCTGGCTGCAAAGGCTCGCCCTACAACCAAGCTACTTGATGCAGAAGACTTGCCAAAGCTTGAACCAAACCCTGCTCCTTTTAAAAGGCTAAGAAAGCTTTACAAGACTCATGATTCTTCGGATAATGAAGTAAATAAAAGTAAAGCTGGGAAGAAGAGCAAAAAGAAGAGGCCTCTGCCTGAAAGGAAATGGAGTAAGCGAATCTCTCGTGAAGACTCTAGTCTTCAAGAAAGTGGTATGACTGATGCTCTTGAAATTTTACGTATTTTCAGGTTGCTGTTTGGGACCTTTGATTGAATTTAATGGCTATTAATTGGATCGAATGCTTTTTGACAAGTTAAGGCCATGATATTAGATCTTCCATGTTTAGATATTACACGTTATCAATGCAATGCTTTAAAGTGATAAATCTCAACAGTTTTTACCAATGTTAAGCCAATGCCATTTTTTCTCACGTTTATGTCAAGTTACAAGTTTTGATGTTGTTTACGTTGCAATGTTTCAGAAGATGGAAGGAGAATCTTGGCCACTTCCAGTGGTGAGGAAGAAGAGCTAGATGATTTAGATGATGCAGATGACAACGAAACATCTCCTGTACAGCTTGAAGGTGGATTAAACATTCCCGAATTCATATTTCGCAAACTTTTTGAGTACCAAAGAGTAGGGGTGCAATGGCTTTGGGAACTTCATTGCCAAAGGGCTGGTGGCATCATCGGGGACGAGATGGGTCTTGGTAAAACTGTGCAGGTCTTATCTTTTCTCGGATCCTTGCATTTCAGTAAGATGTACAAACCGAGTATTATCATATGCCCTGTTACACTATTGCGTCAGTGGAGAAGAGAAGCACAGAAATGGTATCCAGATTTTCACGTGGAATTACTCCATGACTCAGCACAAGATTCAGGGAATGGCAAACGACAAGGCAAGGCCTCTGAAAGCGATGACGACAGTGAGTGTTCAGTCGATAGTGATCATGAGCAAAAGTCCAAGAATACCAAGAAATGGGATTCTTTGATAAACCGGGTTCTAAATTCTGAGTCGGGGCTCCTCATCACTACATATGAGCAATTGAGGCTGCAAGGTGAGAAGCTGCTCAATATTGAATGGGGTTATGCAGTATTGGACGAAGGCCATCGGATCCGGAACCCAAATTCTGATATTACTTTGGTGTGCAAACAGTTACAGACTGTCCACCGAATTATTATGACTGGGGCACCAATCCAGAATAAACTAACAGAACTCTGGTCCTTGTTCGATTTTGTTTTCCCTGGAAAACTGGGTGTCCTGCCCGTGTTTGAAGCAGAGTTTTCTGTTCCCATAACAGTGGGTGGCTATGCCAATGCTTCTCCCTTACAAGTGTCGACTGCCTATAGGTAATTAATTACCTGGTCTTTCTTTTGAATCGTTTAGTTATTTCGTCACAGTTTGTGTTCTAACAATCTTGACAATTTGCTTTCACAGGTGTGCTGTTGTTCTTCGTGATATGATCATGCCTTACCTCCTCCGCCGCATGAAGGCTGATGTGAACGCTCATCTTACAAAAAAGACTGAACACGTTCTCTTTTGCAGCCTCACTATAGAGCAGCGATCTACCTATAGGGCGTTCCTTGCAAGCTCCGAAGTAGAACAGATTTTGGATGGCAACAAGAATTCACTTTATGGTATTGATGTGATGCGTAAGATATGCAACCACCCTGATCTACTTGAGAGAGAACATTCTTACCAGAACCCAGATTATGGGAACCCAGAACGCAGTGGGAAGATGAAGGTTGTTGCAGAAGTGCTTAAGGTTTGGAAACAGCAAGGACACCGCGTACTTCTGTTTTCACAGACTCAGCAAATGCTGGACATCCTCGAGAGCTTCTTGGTTGCAAATGAGTATAGTTATAGGAGGATGGATGGTCTTACACCAGTGAAACAGAGAATGGCTTTAATTGATGAGTTTAATAATTCAGATGATGTATTTGTTTTCGTTTTGACGACGAAGGTGGGTGGTTTGGGAACAAATTTGACTGGCGCAAACAGGGTCATCATCTTTGACCCGGATTGGAACCCCTCAAATGATATGCAGGTAAGTTTTGCTTTCAAATGTCACAGATTCAGTGTTCGAAAAACCTGTCATGGCCTTAAATAACAGTCAATTTTCCGCCTTTTTGGTCAGGCTAGGGAACGTGCATGGCGTATTGGGCAGAAGAAGGATGTTACCGTTTACAGATTGATCACACGAGGCACAATTGAGGAGAAGGTATATCATAGACAGATTTATAAACATTTTCTCACCAATAAGATCTTGAAGAATCCGCAACAGAGAAGATTCTTCAAAGCTCGGGATATGAAAGATCTTTTCATCCTGAAAGATGATGGCGATAGCAACGCCTCCACGGAAACCTCTAACATCTTCAGTCAGCTGGCTGAAGAGATAAACATCGTAGGAGTTCAATCAGATAAGAAAACTGAATCTACCACACAACTTGCTCTGCACAATACTGCAGAGGGATCCTCAGAGCAAGCAGATGAGGATACGACTAATAAAACTGGTGAAGCCGTGGATGAAGAGACAAATATCTTAAAGAGTCTCTTTGACGCACATGGAATACATGTAAGTACGTTAATTTTTGCTCATTGAAGCTTCTTCTCTGACTTACTTTTCCAAAATTTCCAATTCGCTGCACTCTCCTACGATTGTTAACACAGAGTGCTGTGAATCACGACGCCATTATAAATGCAAACGACGAGGAAGAGAAGATGAGACTTGAACACCAAGCATCTCAAGTGGCACGAAGAGCTGCAGAAGCATTGCGCCAATCACGAATGTTGCGTAGCCGGGAAAGCATCTCAGTGCCCACATGGACGGGTAGATCTGGTTGTGCAGGTGCACCATCATCTGTACGGAGGAGATTTGGATCAACTGTCAATTCCCGGTTAACCCAGACTGGAGACAAACCATCAGTGATCAAGAATGGAATCAGTGCAGGTCTATCTTCAGGAAAAGCACCATCTTCTGCAGAGCTCCTCAACAGAATCCGCGGGAGCAGAGAACAAGCCATTGGCGTTGGCAATGAGCAGCTACAGTCGTCATTGCCGTCTTCTTCGGGTTCAAGCAGCAGAGTAGGTTCGTTGCAGCCCGAGGTACTGATCAGACAGATATGCAGCTTTGTACAGCAAAAAGGTGGAAGTGCGGACACGACCAGCATTGTCAACCACTTCAGGGATAGCGTTTCTTATGATGACAGGCCGTTGTTTAAGAATCTCTTGAGAGAGATTGCCACGCTTGAGAAGGATCAAAATAGATCGTTTTGGGTCCTCAAATCAGAGTATAAAGACTAAAAACAGAGGTTTTGGTTGTCTCTACTGATCGAGTCTGAAGATGGAAAAAGGCGAGATTGACTCCACACATATTTGCCAAGTATTCTCTTATTCTTTATAACCAAGCTCTTAGCTTTCTCCCAATTTTTTTAACCAACAAAGTCACTTACACTTCAAATTGTACTTTAAAGAAGGAAAAGCTTAGTAGAGTGAGCACAATTATGAAAATCATTATTGACCAATAACTCGAAAGGCAAACACCACTAAAGTCTACTAAAGCAGCATTACAACAACAAACTTATGTGTAAAAAAGACTAAAGATGAGGTTTTCTTGGTTTAGATTACAATTATGAACCAAGCGAGATTGGTTTAATTACTTTGATTTGGTTTAAGATAACCGGACTCAAATTCTATGCCGTTGACTCAGAGAAGCATGGACTCATATACAGTATATGTGAGTGTCTGACTAAAATACCCTTATTTGCTATCAAGATATACAAGAAACCCTATCTCTCACTTCTCTCACACTTGTGATCTTCTTCTTCCCAGATAACGAGAACAAATATATCGCCGTGGCCGTCTCCTCCTCTATCACCGTCGCTGCTGCCTTTGCTTCGCATCGGTGAGTTTTGATCTTCGTCAAAAATTTCTTCTTTTTTGTTTTTTTGTATTCGCATTCGTTTTTTATGATCCTGCTTATTTGTTACCTTGTTGATCGGTGAACAATTTCACTTTTGTTTTTTTTTGCCAATATATCATGGAGAATTCTAGAAAACTTGGAAATTTACTCAAGATCTGTTCGTTAAAAGAAACTGATATTGATAAAATGTGTTTTTTTTTGTTTTTTGTTTGATGATCTGCAAGACTGCAACTGATAGTGTTTTGTCCGATCTTAATTTTGGAGGCAGAGCAAGTTTAAAAAAATATATAAAATGGACAATTTGGAAGATATGAAGATTGTGGCAGAGCAGTGGTCTAAACAAGGAATTGAATTTGTTCAAAAAATACCACAGCCTCAGCTTTATGCTGCTATTGCTGTTCTCTTATTAGCTACCATTTGGCTCTTTGCTAGTAAGTTGTACACTTCTTCTTACTTGGTATGAGATTGGTTGTCAGATTTGGATATTACAATGGTGGAAAGTTTAGATTTTTGACTATATTCATTCTTGGTTTCGAATTTTTATCCCATTTTTTTTTTATTCTTTTGGATTGTATGTCCTCTGTTTTGGTTGTTAACGTTGTCACTTTTGTTGATTGCTGCAGTTCGTTTCTTTAGGCGTACAAAGTCCAATACTGTACTCCTCTCTGGGCTAAGTGGAAGTGGCAAAACAATGCTCTTCTATCAAGTGAGTATCTAGTGTTTTCGAAGAATGCTTTCGACTTTTCTACAAATGTATTCTAGCTGTCAAGAAAAGCAGCCGAAAGGAACAATGTTGTTGTGTCATTATAAGATGGTTTGGTTTACGAGTTAATATATTGTGACAGCTACGAGATGGATCTTCGCATCAGGGTGCGGTAACATCAATGGAACCGAACGAAGGCACCTTTGTGCTTCACAATGAAAACACTAAGGTAAAGAAAGATCTTCACTTTTGGGGGGTTTTGTTCAAGAATGTAAAAGTGTTTTAAGGGACTTGTATAATTTGCCTATGTGTTTGATAGAAAGGAAAAGTAAAGCCTGTTCATCTTGTTGATGTTCCTGGACACTCTCGGCTTAGATCTAAGCTAGAAGAATACTTGCCTCGAGCAGCCGCTGTTGTATTTGTAGTAGATGCATTGGAGTTCCTCCCAAATATCCGCGCAGCTTCAGAGTAATTAATTACCATATCTGTTTAGGCATTAGTGAATCTTATAGATAGACCACCTACACATTTGGTTTGTATTTTTTCAGGTATCTTTACGACATTCTGACAAATGCTAGTGTTGTTAAGAATAAGGTCCCGGTTCTGCTTTGCTGTAACAAGACAGATAAAGTAACAGCACACACCAAAGAGTTCATCCGCAAGCAGATGGAGAAAGAAATGTGAGATTGATTCTTAAACGTTTCTAACTCTCGTTGATTATCCTTTTGTTAATGCGAGTGTGTGTGTGTGTGTTTCACAGAGAGAAACTTAGGGCTTCAAGGAGCGCAATATCAACAGCTGATGTAACAAATGACTTTACTCTCGGGATTGAAGGAGAAGTGTTTTCTTTTTCGCATTGCCAAAACAAAGTCACGGTCGCTGAGGCGTCTGGACTAACAGGAGAAATAGATCAGGTACAAGGGTTCATCAGAGAACACGTTAAGCCATGAGAAATGTGTGATTATCTCAGAGAATACAAAAAGTCTTTTTAATTTTTTTTGTACATGAATTCATAAGTTGAGTGAGCATTAAGATGATATTAGTTGGAGGACTTTTAGATGTTGCAAAAGTGTTTAATAGTGTGTTTCATCCAAGCAAAGCAACCAACCTTAAGGTTTCTTCTCTTGTATCTCAAATATTTTTAGTAGTAACAAAATTACTGAATAGAAAACTGCAATTCGCAAAATACATGATTTAGTCGGTAATCTATTATTGCATTTAGATTTAGATTGTATATAAAATGTTATAACTTTGGACTATCAGTAGCAACTAGCAAGTATTATTACAAATCGTGAACTTCTTGAGACTATTAGACAGATGAATATATAAATGACCGTTGAAGTACCATCCTTTTCATTGCTTTGTGTATGAGATTGGAGTTTCAAGTAAGGAAAAATCCAAGATTAAGACAATAATAGATTAAGCTGTGCTCTGGTTGATTTGCACATAGCTCGGAACATTTATATAGTTTTCTTGGTTTTGATTTCCCAACTCTCAATGTTAACCCATGCTATATGAATGTTCACTGTCTTTAAATCACGTCTCCTTAAGTACATGTCTTGAAGTAACAACTCTTTTTTTAGTTAAAAAGGCCTATTAATTAACGACGAAGACACTACTCAAAAATACATGAAGAAGAAGACTCGCTAATATTGGAAACTGTTTTATTATATCAACAATTCAAGACTACTACTCATATTGTAATTTGTATCCTTGGTGGCTAGCTCGTCTTCTTCTTGGAGCAGTACTACTACTACTCTACTAGTGAGTGGTTTTTGGCAGAGAAGGATGGATTTTGTTATTTGTAGATATCAAACACGTGACGTGCAGCTAATCCAGACAAAACTGGTAAGTGATAAGTAAGTAAGCTAAGTAAAGGTCTCCATTGAACACTAAAAGATGCTTCACAACAAACAAAACAATTTACTGTATTAAAAAAGTACTCAAAACAGTTTGCTTAATAGTTTTGTCCTCCTCCTCCATCAAGATAGTCACTTTATGGGATGTAAAATCTAAATGCAAAAGTTAATAAGAAATTAGCAGCCAAGATTAAGAAAATTAGTGATTTTTGGTATTTGTATCGAGAGAGAGTGGGTACTACACAATTAGCTCAGCGGTCACGTTGCATGATTAAATTCGTATAAGACATTACAATCATATGTCTCGTCAGAAATAAAAGACCAAAACGTAGATATGTCTCTATCACTATCACTATAATACATATTAAAAGCTCTCTTTTATTATTTATTAATTAAAACAACTTTCTATTGTCAACGAATAGTTTTTTCTTTTCTCTACTGTTTTTCACTAGTAACCAGTTTGTCTTCATACTCGAATGTTTTACGTAATAGTATTCAAAATTAATTATAAGAAAATGGTCGGTTATTTAATATCATATATTATTATTATGATTAAATAGCTTGAAAACAAAAGAAATTAACAAGAAGTGGAAAAAATAGTAATTCAACTAAAAAGAAAAAGGACAAAAGCAGTGTGTGTGGACTAAACATGAAAAAATGTGAGAGGTCCAAAATAATTTTCTCATGCAAACGAATTTTCCTCCGCCGGCCATTTGTACTTATTTATTATATGTTTTTTTTTAAATTCTAGATACTATTTTTTCTCTCTTTAACATATTATTTTAATATATTTTATGTTCTTTTTCGAATCACAAATAATTGTATGTTAAAAAAAAGGGGTATACTATCACCGAACAATCCAAATTAAAATCACTTTTTTAGTTTTTGTCGTTTTTGACACATCTTCTCAATTTGAAGTTACTAGCTACCAGATTAATTATGTATAAACCCTTTAACAAAAAAAAAAAAGAAGAAGATTAAATTATGTATATAGCAAAATATACTAGAGTTATTGAAGACTCTTTAGTGAGTACCTATAACTAATTGAGTTGAAACAAGTTTAATTTTCTCAAATCATTAATATGTCAATAATAAGCAGTTCTGTGACTTATTCAATAGCCTAGCGGTTGGTAGCGGGCGTTTGCGGTTGTTAGCGATTGAAACCAATCATACAAAACGCTCCACACCGCTTAGGATCACTCGAAATCGCTAGATTTCAAAAGCTCCTTCCCGCAAGCGTTTGCGGTTGCGGGCGATTGCGATTGATTTAAAAAAGGAAAGAAACTGAAAAAGGAAATTCTGCAAAATAAAATATATATTATCAAATCTTATATATATTCACATTAATTCTCAAATTATAACTATTCTCTAAATTTAATTTTCTAATATTATCAAATCTTATAAAATTTATTTATTTAACATTTCAGTAATTATTTAGTACATATATTTAGTAATAATTTATGGTACGTAATTTTTAATCATATTTAAAATGTTTATACTGTTACATAAAAAATATTTTACTAAAAAAATATTTGTTTTAAATAATTATTCAGTAATTTATTTATGGTTTTTAGTTATTAATCATATTCAGTTTTTCAATATATTTTATCATAATAATATAATATTGGTATATTTATACATTTTAATAATTATATTTATATTTAATTTTGTAATTTTTGATGTAACCGCCATTGCAGCCGCTGGTTAACCAGTCATAAAACTCCCGCAAATGCACTCATTTTTAAAAGCTAAACCAGTCGTTTAAAACGCTTAATAACGCTTAAAACCGCAACCACCCGCTTCCGCAAACTCCTGCAACCGCAACCGCAACCGCTGCGTTTAAACCAGTCAGGCCCACGTACGTAATGCAAATGCATTATGCATGGATACAAACTAATGATGGACGAGTACTTTCAGTCCTATTATATAAAAGTTTTTAGTTAAAAACACAAAGATTAACAAATATTAATTGTTTAACTATTTATGAAAATAATCAACAGAAGAAAATATTACATAATTTGAATAATCATAAATTATCAAATTAATAAAAAGCATTCATATAAATTAATTTAAAAATATAACAAATAAAAAAAATTAAAACATCTTATATATTAGACCACAGAAAGTCGAGCATTATACCAATTAGGTGCCTCAATATATATGAAAAAATTGTTTAGTGTTTTTATAATGTTATTTCAAAATATAGTATACACATACGCTACAATATTGAAAAAGTTTTATTTTATTTTATGATTCCGTGAAAATAATTTCTAAGTAAGTTTGCAACTGTATAATTATATGAACTTGGATGTTAAGCAAAATAGCTAATATGATATTTTTGTTGATTATACCAAAAATTTTGGAACGATATATACTATATATTTGAGATGTGATTCTATCTACTAGCTAGCTCATAAAATTATGAAAAGTACGTATGATAACAATAGGCATATCATTTGCTTAAATTTGACGTGTGAGGTTCTGCTTCAGGCAAAGCTCATGGATTCCACATTATGTGGAGTTTTCATCTTTGACGGCAGGCAACCTGCCAAAAGCTTTTAGAGCTAACTATGTATCTTAACAAAGTGTTATACAAGGAATAATTGTCATTCCCTTTTCACAATAAATTTTAGTTTCGTATTTGGTATGATCGGTTTTCTATTCGATTTAATCTGTCAATTAACAGAACTAAGATTTGTGGTGAAATAGATGACAACTATGAATTATGAGAAATACAGGTCGAGGAACATAATTGGCGAAACATCTGGGATGAGAGCAAAGTTCTAGTTCTATCTAGTACGATGTCATAGTTATTGTAGAGAAATAAATCGTTTTCTCTACAATATATTCGGGAAAATAATAAAAACGAAATCGAATCATCTTGTTCCTATAGTTTAATTGTTTGGTTGAGCAAATAGACCAAAAACTTAGTTTAGTATACCATCTTATTTCATGTTTATTTAAAGATTTTCTGATATAATTTTGGATTGTAAACCTAACAAATTTCATCATAAATGAAATATTTACAAATTTGAAAATGTAAAATGAGGTTGGAGTGGTGGACAAGGACTTGTTGACCACAAAACCAAAAATAGTACGAATAGAGAGAGAGATGATGTATGATATGATGCGATTGAGAAAAGAAAAAAAAAAGAGATTCGACAAGTCCAGGGGCTCCCACGCGGCACTGGCCCAGCAACCACGTGCGGCCACTAGAGAGAATAAAGCTTTAGCCCACGTGATCTCTGGCCCATTTCACTTCTCCCCCTCACACATTCATTACACGACAAAATAACCACACACCAAACAAAAAAAAAAGCTCTTATTAGTTGCTATTAAATTTTATTAAATTGGCAAAAACTTTTTTCCCAAAACTTAAATATATTAGCAACCATTTTTTAGAGCTAATTTTCTAAATTCCCTTTAGGAAAAAAAAACAGAGACACATATGATTTTATTAATTTGACGACACACATTCGGCTAAAATATAAAAATTTTGGTAACTTTTTTTACCGTTTCTTCATACCGCAGTAAAACAAGATAACCTATTTTAATAAATTTGCCAATTATAAGAATTTATTATTAAAAAAATTTATACTCTCGAGAGAATTTATAAGAGACTAGTACCAATAGAATTTTAATAGTTTTATAAACCATTATATTATACTGAAACTGTTTTTCAAACCATTATTATTTATATTTATTTTTTGTTATATATCTTCCCATCATTTTCACCATTTTCTTTTACCGCACTTATATTTATCCATCACTTGGACCATTACTGTGTACTATCAGTAAAGGTAAACCCAAAATTCAACCTTTTCGGAATTAATATATTGTTTTTGTGTTTTCTGAGTTATCTCTCTGATCCCAATTTCTCCAACTCCTTCTTCTTCCCTCGAAACCTCACCCAAAATTTTCTCAAAGAGATTTTTTCTTTATTTTTATTTTATTTTTATTTTCATCTCTCTCTCTCTCTCTCTCTCTCTTCTCTCTCGGTTTCAATTCTCAGCAAAACAGAGAGAATAGATTCTCTCAATGATTCACTTTAAATCCCTCAATTCCGATATTTCTTCTTCTTAATTCCCATTTCATTATCTCCCGCATGGCTTCCGGTGGAAGCGGCGGCGGCCGCGTCGGCGAAGGAGCAGCGTCGTCGAGTCGTACTACTAACAACCGGAGAGGAGAACAAGCTCAATCTTCGGGAACAAAATCTCTCAGACCACAAGAATCAGTGAGCAAAGCGATTCAACAGTACACCGTCGACGCCAGACTCCACGCCGTTTTCGAACAGTCCGGCGAATCAGGCAAATCGTTCGACTACTCCCAGTCGCTCAAAACGACGACGTACGGTTCCTCTGTACCTGAGCAACAGATCACTGCTTATCTCTCCCGAATCCAGCGGGGAGGTTACATTCAGCCTTTCGGATGCATGATCGCCGTCGATGAATCGAGCTTCGGAATCATCGGTTACAGCCAAAACGCTAGGGAAATGTTAGGGCTTATGCCTCAGTCTGTTCCTAGTCTTGAGAAACCTGAGATTCTAGCCATGGGGACTGATGTGCGGTCTCTCTTCACTTCCTCCAGCTCGATTCTACTCGAGCGTGCTTTCGTGGCTCGAGAGATTACCTTGTTGAATCCTGTTTGGATCCATTCCAAGTATACTGGTAAACCGTTTTACGCCATTCTTCATAGGATCGATGTTGGTGTTGTTATTGATTTAGAGCCAGCTAGAACTGAAGATCCAGCGCTTTCCATTGCTGGTGCTGTACAGTCGCAGAAACTCGCCGTTCGTGCGATTTCGCAGTTACAGGCTCTTCCCGGCGGAGATATTAAGCTTTTATGCGACACTGTTGTGGAAAGTGTGAGGGACTTGACTGGTTATGATCGTGTTATGGTCTATAAGTTTCATGAAGATGAGCATGGGGAAGTTGTGGCTGAGAGTAAGCGAGACGATTTAGAGCCTTACATTGGACTGCATTATCCAGCTACTGATATTCCTCAAGCGTCACGCTTCTTGTTTAAGCAGAACCGTGTCCGGATGATTGTAGATTGCCATGCCACGCCGGTTCTTGTTGTTCAGGACGATAGGCTGACTCAGTCTATGTGCTTGGTTGGTTCTACTCTTAGGGCTCCTCATGGTTGTCATTCTCAGTATATGGCTAACATGGGGTCTATTGCGTCTTTAGCTATGGCGGTTATAATAAATGGAAATGAAGAAGATGGGAGCAATGTAGCTAGTGGGAGAAGCTCCATGAGGCTTTGGGGTTTAGTGGTTTGCCATCACACTTCTTCTCGCTGCATACCGTTTCCGCTAAGGTATGCTTGTGAGTTTCTGATGCAGGCTTTCGGTTTACAGTTGAACATGGAATTGCAGCTAGCTTTGCAGATGTCAGAGAAACGCGTTTTAAGAACGCAGACACTGTTATGCGATATGCTTCTGCGTGACTCGCCTGCTGGAATTGTTACACAGAGTCCTAGTATCATGGACTTAGTGAAATGTGACGGTGCGGCATTTCTTTACCACGGCAAGTATTACCCGTTGGGTGTTGCTCCTAGTGAAGTTCAGATAAAATATGTTGTGGAGTGGTTGCTAGCGAATCACGCAGATTCAACCGGATTAAGCACTGATAGTTTAGGCGATGCGGGGTATCCTGGTGCAGCTGCGTTAGGGGATGCTGTGTGCGGTATGGCAGTTGCATATATCACAAAAAGAGACTTTCTTTTTTGGTTTCGATCTCACACTGCGAAAGAAATTAAATGGGGAGGAGCTAAGCATCATCCGGAGGACAAAGATGATGGGCAACGAATGCATCCTCGTTCATCCTTTAAGGCTTTTCTTGAAGTTGTTAAGAGCCGTAGTCAGCCATGGGAAACTGCGGAAATGGACGCGATTCACTCGCTCCAGCTTATTTTGAGAGACTCTTTTAAAGAATCTGAGGCAGCTATGAACTCTAAAACTGGGGATGGTGTGGTTCAGCCATATAGGGATATGGCAGGAGAGCAAGGGATTGATGAGCTAGGTGCAGTTGCAAGAGAGATGGTTAGGCTCATTGAGACCGCAACTGTTCCTATATTCGCTGTTGATGCCGGAGGCTGCATCAATGGATGGAACGCCAAGATTGCAGAATTGACAGGTCTCTCAGTTGAAGAAGCCATGGGGAAATCTCTGGTTTCTGATCTAATATACAAAGAGAATGAAGAAACTGTCAATAAGCTTCTTTCTCGTGCTTTGAGAGGTATATTTAGTTCTCCAACTATGTTGTATCTGCGGTGTATATACAATTCACGGGTATCTGATTATTTTGTCGCATTTGGCAATCAATGCAGGGGACGAGGACAAGAATGTGGAGGTTAAGCTGAAAACTTTCACCCCGGAACTTCAAGGCAAAGCAGTTTTTGTCGTTGTGAATGCGTGTTCCAGCAAGGACTACTTGAACAACATTGTAGGCGTCTGTTTTGTTGGACAAGACGTTACTGGTCAGAAAATCGTAATGGATAAGTTCATCAATATACAAGGAGATTACAAGGCTATTGTCCATAGCCCAAACCCGTTAATACCACCAATTTTTGCTGCTGATGAGAACACGTGCTGCCTGGAATGGAACACGGCGATGGAAAAGCTTACAGGCTGGTCTCGGAGTGAAGTGGTTGGGAAAATGCTTGTTGGGGAAGTGTTTGGGAGCTGTTGCAAGCTAAAGGGTCCTGATGCTTTAACAAAATTCATGATTGTATTGCATAATGCGATTGGTGGCCAAGAGACGGATAAGTTCCCTTTCCCATTTTTTGACCGGGATGGGAAGTTTGTTCAGGCACTATTGACTGCAAACAAACGGGTTAGCCTCGAGGGAAAGGTTATTGGGGCTTTCTGTTTCTTGCAGATCCCAAGTCCTGAGCTACAGCAAGCTTTGGCAGTCCAACGGAGGCAGGACACAGAGTGTTTCGCGAAGGCGAAAGAGTTAGCTTATATTTGTCAGGTGATAAAGAATCCTTTGAGCGGTATGCGTTTTGCAAACTCGCTGTTGGAGGCCACAGACTTGAACGAGGATCAGAAGCAGTTCCTTGAAACAAGTGTTTCTTGTGAGAAACAGATCTCAAGGATTGTCGGTGACATGGATCTTGAAAGCATTGAAGACGGGTGAGCTTAGTTAGAATTATCTGGAAACTAGTTTTGTTTACTTCACAAAATGTGACCAAACCCGAATTTTGCTTTTCCATATCAGTTCGTTTGAGCTTAAGAGAGCGGAGTTTTTCCTCGGAAGTGTCATAAACGCGATTGTAAGCCAAGCAATGTTCTTATTAAGGGACAGAGGTCTTCAGCTGATACGTGACATTCCCGAAGAGATCAAATCAATAGCTGTTTATGGAGACCAGATAAGGATTCAACAACTCCTGGCTGAGTTTCTGCTGAGTATAATCCGGTATGCACCATCTCAAGAGTGGGTGGAGATCCATTTAAGCCAGGTTTCAAAGCAAATGGCTGATGGATTCACCGCTATCCGCACAGAATTCAGGTACATTTCATTGTTCCCGATGTTGTCTCCTCCTCATATTCTTAACCATAATTGTGCAATCCGTTTTTTTGGTTCCAATTTTTTTTTTGCTACATGAAGAATATGAATTTGGTTTGGTTAATTATGAATCTGATTTAGGCATTTTGAGAAATTGAGGTTTCATTTTATAAAACTTAACAGTGTTTTGGTTGTTGTTTATTCAGATATAGATAGGTTATTTAGGTGGCATTTTTGGTTTGGTTAAGTCTACTGGGGAACTTCTAGACAGAACCATAGGCCTAGGATTAGCAGACACAGAATATAATGTTTTCAAATATATGAAAACCAGGTCAAAAGTGTAAAACTTGGGTTTCATGTTGTTGGTTTCTTTGTTATGTCTTTATTTGTTGTTTTCAGAATGGCGTGTCCAGGTGAAGGTCTGCCTCCAGAGCTGGTCCGAGACATGTTCCATAGCAGCAGGTGGACAAGCCCTGAAGGTTTAGGTCTAAGTGTCTGTCGAAAGATTCTAAAGCTAATGAACGGTGAGGTTCAATACATCAGAGAATCAGAACGCTCCTACTTCCTCATCATACTCGAACTCCCTGGTCCCCGAAAACGCCCACTGTCAACCGCTAGTGGTAGCGGCGACATGATGTTAATGATGCCATATTAGTCACATTTTCAGTTGGTATGAGAGTTTGTATCATTGTATGTGTATGTGTGTGTTTGTGTGTCTAACGACGTCGGAGGAGGGATAGAAAGTTTTAGTTTCCGGTGAGATTAGTAGAGAAGAAGGAGATGGTTTGCGTTCAGCTCAGCTCGCCGGGGGAAAGAAAACATAACAGTAGTTACAGAGAGAAATGCAAGACTTCTTTTGTCTGTGTTGTGTAAATTGATAACTTCGAGAGAGAGAGAGAGAGAGAGAGAGAGAGAGAGAGGCAAAAGAATGAGAAAAGAAGAGAGCATATTGATAGATGAGATGACCAATCATAAATCCTTTAATTGTTTACTTGTTTACTTGTTTACTTCAGTTCCAAGCTTCTAAAGAATATTTATTCGGACAGATGAATATATGATTTTTTCACAGAATATTATATTCCCAAAAAAAAAAAATACATTTTACATAAAGTCAAATAATAGGGGAATAAATTGGTGAAAATGATAAGAGTTGGGATTTTGCATGTAACACCATTCTCCATCTCTCTTTTTTAGCACTTGAGAGATGGAGAGATTTTTGATACGTTAAGCTGATGTGGATTTTAAATACTTCCTAACAAAATGACTACAAAATACTATGAAAATTAAAGCTTCTACACCGAGAGGTCTGGGGTTCGACGCCTAGGTAATGCGATTTATTAATTTACAGATTAAGGAGACAAACTTACAAGAGATCTATAACAATACACAATTAGAGCCGTTCGCCGTGATTTTATGCATAGAGAAGGAGATGTCGTCAAAAGGTATAATCTGTGGTGAATCTAATAGGGTCGGATAGAACTGTCGGTAGTAGAATCGTCATTGTAACAATTCTCATAATTTGCAATAAATAATAAATCAAGAGTTAAAAAAAAAATACTACGAAAATCTGATTAATTAGCAACTAGTCAAATAACTTATGGACATTTTTAAAAACAAATAAGAGAATATTATTTAAAACAAAATATATAATATAAATGATCTTAGTTGTTAAACCAAAGTGTTATAAGCTTAAGAAAATTTAAAATAATATAATATTCAATTTACTCTAAGAATCATTGATGGTAAATGAACTTGTTCTATTATGAAAAAGATTAATTAATCTACTAAATTTGGTATTTAGTATTTTATAATGATATTTAACGAAAAGTTTACATCTATTTAAAAATGGATAACCCAACTTGCACCTCTACGGAAAAAAAAATGATAACTCTTTACGCCGTTAAATTATTCAACTAACATGCCAATCAAACCTATGATTAAACACTTTATTGTTAATATTCATCTATTTTATTGAAATGGTTATTTTGTTAGCAACCATTTTGCAACTCTTCTAATAATAAATAGTTGATGATGAAAATGGTACCGTCCAAAAAGTTGTATTCATTCAAATCCCACGAACGATATATAAAAACAGAAAATGTTTAAGTTGGGGTGGCTAAGGCTAAGATGTAACACATTATCGCACTATATAGTTTTTTGGTGTATGCTCTCCAGGCTGTGTTGTTCGCTTCTCACATTACCTACACTAAACTCACTTTTTCTCTTTAAGAAACTCTAAAGTAAACCTTTAAAGACTGAAATTTTTTTATTAAGGAATCAAAACTTCATTATATATGCTCTATAAATACTCACCCATAACACCATTATTTGAATGTCTCAAACTTAAACCCAACCTAAAACCTTCGAGAAGAGATACTTTCCTAAAGTGGCAATCCGAAAACTCCAAAACTTGAAAATGGTTTCTCATGCACCTTATTTGGTTGTGTCGATAAGTTTCTTAGTTGGTTTAAGCTTGTTGCTTGTTGTACACGCTAAAGATTTCAACCAAGACATTGACATAACTTGGGGTGATGGTAGAGGAACTATTTTGAACAATGGAACCCTTCTAAATCTCTCTCTTGATCAATCTTCAGGGTCGGGGTTCCAATCGAAAGCCGAGTATTTGTACGGTAAAGTCGATATGCAGATCAAACTTGTCCCGGGAAATTCCGCCGGGACAGTGACCACCTTCTACGTAAGTTCTTCTTAATTAGCTAGACATACATATAAACTTACTACCTTATGTTATATTGGATGATGGATTTTGGAGGGTTTTTTTTTGGTGTCTATAGTTGAAGTCTCAAGGATTAACATGGGACGAGATAGATTTTGAGTTCTTGGGGAATGTTAGTGGAGATCCATACATTCTTCACACTAATGTTTACACTCAAGGCCAAGGTGATAGAGAGCAACAATTCTACCTTTGGTTCGATCCGACTGCTGAGTTCCACAACTATTCTATTCTATGGAATCCGAGTCACATAGTGTAAGCATATATATTAACCACAATCCTAATTATAACTTGACAAATACATTAAAACTGATGTGAACTATAATTTCAGTGTTTCTAGAAATCGAACTGTAAAAGTGAACCACTAGATCATAAACAATGATTTTTCAATTAATTTTGCTAGCTTTATAGATTTTTTAAAGTCAATTTTAATTGTTTATGTGGACGAAATAATTCATAAAATATAGGAAGGGGTGACAAAAACTAATCACAAGATAATAATATATCATGCAACAATAATTTCGTGGGTTAACATGTTTAAAATTATTAATCTTAATAGGTTCTATGTTGATGGGAAGCCAATTAGAGAATTCAGAAATTTGGAAGCAATGGGTGTGGCTTATCCAAAGAGCCAACCCATGAGAATGTATGGTAGTCTATGGAACGCAGATGATTGGGCCACGAGGGGAGGCCTTGTCAAGACAAACTGGTCACAGGGACCATTCGTAGCCTCTTTCATGAACTACAACTCCGAGAATACTTGTGTCATGTCGTCCATTGATAATGCAACCACCTCGTCGACCATTATTACTCCTTGTAGCCCCGATGGCAGCTCGTCTTCGAGCAGTACAAGCGAGTGGTTTTCGCAGAGAGGGATGGATTCGCCAAGCAAGAAAATACTTAGATGGGTTCAGAGGAAGTTCATGGTTTACAATTATTGTAAGGACAAGAAACGGTTCTCTAAAGGTTTGCCTGTTGAATGCACTTCCAAAAACAAGAACAAGAACACAAAGTCGTCTTGAGATTTTTGTATGTTTTATCCTTTAAAATTAATGAGTTTTCCAGTTAAGATTAGTTGTCGTGATTTGTTTATTTTGTGTTGGTTATTTTGTTTATTTTCCCAATGATGATTTATTCGTCTTATATTTTGTTGAATGAGAATAATCGAATTTTGGATTCGTCTCAGTTGCTTCACTACATCACTTTGGATTAGTATGGACGAAATAGTGTGAGAATGTGTAAACATTACTTCCATGTTAAAATGCTCTTGTGAGCATTTTGTAATCAAAATAACTTGCATTATTAATATGCACAAAAGGAAGATACTATGCTTTAATTTTGGGGTTAAGCATTTAACAAAAAGATGACAAATGTGAAAACAAGAAAACTCATGGATTTTAATTTTGGAATGATGTTGGAGTGATTTAAATTAGGATGTGATTTGATAAAAGTAATACTAACCTTTTTTTATATTAGAGTGAGGTAATATTTTAATGTGAAATGAAAGATGTATCAAAACTTGATCAAGGAAGTGAACCGGTAGCGAGGGGATAAAGTATATGTGACACCAATAAATTAATTCATAGATTGAACATTAAATTTCACTTCATTTCATATGAAAGTATGGCATAAGTTGGTTTAATGGGTAATGGGTGATGAAAGATGGAAGAAGTGTGGGTTAGTTAGTAGAAATTGATATGGCTTATTTAAGAGATTATGAAATTGTGTGGAACTGATTAAGTATTTAGATAATCTTAGTTATTTATTTTAAAAAAGTTAGTTTAGTAGTTAAGGTTTTATTTCATGGCCATCATCAATCAAATGTTTTAATAACTCTTTCTTTCAGCATCTTGTGATAATAAATCACAAGCTAATTATGCGTCTTGGTATGAGATAATCTTGTAGAGATTTTGCACACAAAAAAACGAAAGATCTTGAAGAAAATTCTTAACTAGTGTTTAGCAAATTCTAACATACTCATGTGGGCGTTAGTTTCACTTCACTCATGAAGATATATTTCAAAACAGAAAAAAAAAAAACCAAGTAACTTTTTGTCTAAACATATGCAAAAAATATGAATTAATTTATTCAATTCTTCAAACATATTAAAATATTGACAACATATGATACTAATTGTGAAGTGAGAAATTTTTTTTTTGGGCTAATACAGTTATAATCAATTATTTTCAAATATTCAAAATACACAAAATATATATAATCAGTACTTTACTAAAAGAAATCTCACGATGACGCATTTGATTTTTTATCCACTCCATGTATTTTTTCTAGTTAGTGCCCTACAAAGAGTAAGACATAACCTAAAACCAACGCGTAGTTCAATATTACATAACATGAGTATTAATACACAACTTTAAAATAACCATCATTTCCCACATTTTCGCCATGAGAAATTTTACCAATGCGATTGTTTCTCCATTTTCTACGTCAACCCCATATATTGAGACAGCATGGAGACCTTTATATTTAGATCCTTTCGACATAGGTCCCCGGTAGATTCCCTAACACAGAATACATAGAAGCTTAATAATCATACATGTGAATTTTCTATTGAAATATTCATAAAAGAAAGTTATTGTAAAATCTGACTTTATTGTTTTGTACCTTCTTGATATTTGAATAGACTGGTTTAAAGATAGCCAACGATACTCCAATCAGATGAAACTCGAGCTGGGGTAACGCCTCATCCATGTTCTCCCTCCGTTGTACCGAAGCTATACGAACATGAGGATCCTTCGGTGGACGATATGCAGGTGGCTTTCTACAACCTACATACTCCCAATGTTTTGCTAATGGAATACCTCCATCTTTTACAAACTCCAAGCCTTTCGCGATAGTGTGTTTGAAACAATAATGCCCTTCTTTTGAGTAATTCGCCAATCCTTTAGCTTGATTAACGTAATCTACCAAATATTGAGCCTAATAATCAATGTATTTTGCATCATACTTCAAAATGAATCTTAGTGCACTAATCAACTCATCAACCACAACAGCCCAGCAAGTATATGTGAAAAAACAAATTTGAAAGTGATGAGAAAAACTTTCAAATATTCAAGATACCCAAAATAGAATCATTAGTTTTAGTAAAGAGATCTCACAATGGTGCCCTTGATTTCTTACCCAACCCATGTATTTTTTCCAGTTAGTGCCCTTCACAGAGTCGGACACAACCTAAAACCAACACATATATAGTAGTAAAATTACACACATAATATATAGGCTCCTCCCAATTTTATATAACTATTGATTATTCTTGAACAACATAATTAAATAGAACATTACAGTGTGTTTTTTCCACCAAGCGTATGAAGTTTTTAAACCATCAACAATTTCGATATGATCATCATCAGGTTTGGACGATATGATCATAGCCAAGATCGGACCAGGGATATACTTTTGAGCACTCTCAAAGAACACATACACTTCTTTAGGAATGGTTAAGTTGCACTTCACACATAAACAATATATAAGTATTTTTCTATGGATTAATTGGAGAATTAGTACGTTTTTGGAAAGAAATATGCAAACTAGTACATATACTATTTATTATTAGGAAAATAGTCGGTGGACCCTACAATGTGAGATAGAGAATGGTGTGAGATAGGGAAAAGAAAGGAAAAAAAATTGACAAAGAAGGGTAATTTTTATCTATTTGGTTTTTTGTTTTTTGTTTTTGTTTTTTTATCATTTTATTTCTTTGAATGTGTTTATCCCATGAATCTAATAACTTACATACTCGTTTTTGTACTTTTTTCCGTAAAACTTTTATGATACACAAAAATCTATGTTTTTTTCTCTATCATTTGATATGTATTTTGTTTAATAAATTTTAAATTTATTTCATATGAATATATTTATTTGTACAGTTTAGTATGTGTACAGACGTATATTGTACAGTTTAGTATATGTACAGATGTATCTGTACATTTTATTGGATGTACAGATGGATCCGTACAGTTTACTAAGTGTACAGATGTATAAAAAATTATACATTTTTATCCGTACAGCTATTATAGTATACCAAAATATGCATATTTATATATATATATATATATGTGTATAGTAATACGATGTACGGATAATATTAAGTGGTATTTTTATTGTTGTACAAAAAAATATTTTTGTATATCCGTACACTTAGTAAACTGTACAGATACGTCTTCGGTGGCATACTCGTAAATATTTTGTTTATCTAAGGGCTTAAATGTTATTGAAATAATAGCAAATAGTGAAAATGTATTAGTTTCCTAATTATAAATAGTGATTGTACTATTCTTATAATTATGTTTGAAAAATGTACTACTTTTACAACTCACTCTTTCTCTATTAATTAGTAGTTAACATTGTTTAACATATGGGTATTACTACTCTATATACCCAAAAGATTGAAAAACAAAAAGCAAGGTCTCAATAATAAGTTAATTAGTTCTCGCTTCATTGTATAAAGTGGACAAAAATACCCTTTCGTAGTTAACAAAATATTTAGCGACATAATAAAATAATTATCCACGATATTGTTTACAAAGACACAAGTAAAATCATGTGATAAGTTAATGAATAAAAGTTGAATTATCAAGCTAACAAAATATACATAAAAATAAGTTTATAAACATATTGTGTTAAACTATATAATATCGCGGTAAGTTATGATTTATGTGATTTATCGTGTTAACTCATTTACTATATCATATACAACAAATAATGAATTACATGTTAAACCATACTAGATTATTATGAAAGTCAACAACAACAATAACATGTTACGTAATATTATATATCGTTAATATTATCGTGTTAATTAATCTATTATTGTGTTAAATCATTTATTGTGTTAAATCATATTGTTGAAGTTAAAAAAAACAAACATATAGTTTATCGATATAAATTTTTTTATTCTGCTAAAAGATCTATTTAACGGATAGGGTTAGTTTGGTCTAATATATAAATTGATGAGATAGAACTAATTATACATATATGAGTACCATATTCTTAATTTTTCGGTCAGTTGAGTAGATAATTTTAACTTACCCTTGACATATATAGTGTGTAGTTTTGATGTTACTTACCGGGAAAACGGCCTATTCCCCCATGAACTAAGTTACTTTATCGCAAACATACTCGGAACTTTCATCTGTGTCTATTTCCCCATTAACTAATGTAAAATTTGAATTTCATTCACCAACTTTACAAATCTGGTTAAAACCCACAAATCGTCAAACGGTGTTACTGTGCCGTCAACGGGTGCTGACTAGGACGACACGTAAGTGTTAAAACGACTCCGTTTTACCCTAAAACCACACGACTTAAATGATAAAACGATTGCGTTTTTCGAATTGGGGGTTTTATTTCGATTTAGGGTTCTTCTTCTTCTTTCCCGTCTCTCTCTATGTCTCAATGCCGATTTGGAGGTTTGGGAAAGTTAGCATCTTTTCTATGATGAAAACGTAATGAAGTCTTTACCTTTTTTGCGGACGTTCTCTCTTGTTACTTACTACTAACCAAAGAGAAGAAAATGAAAAAACCCAAAAAAAGTGAATGAAGAAGAATAAGAAGACGAAGAAGTATAGAATTAATGTTTTTTTTTTTTCTTTTATCCTACACGAGTCCACACTCATGCATCTATGCATCCTTACTTTTATTCTTTGTCTTTACTTATAACTTATAAAACATTATCAATTTTAGAAAGAAAAACAATCATCGTGATCAATGTATTCATGAAATATTTTTTTTTCTAATTTCTCTATGCTATTTTGTTTGTCAAAACGCCTATTTTATTTCTTTTAAAAGGATATTCGTTTAATAAATTATATACACTCCTAGAGACCAAAAGAAATAATTAAAAAAAAAAAATGAAATGTTTAATTTGTTAAAATTCTATACACTTCTAGGGATCACTAGATTATAGCTCTTGTTATGCATGGTTGCGTTTATATATAGAAAACCCTTCATGCACATATTCGTTCCCTTATATATCATCATGAGGATGATCAATACATTTATGAAATCATTGTCTAATTTCTATACGCAAATTTTTTCATTTCCTTTTTAATTTGTCAAAAAGCTTTTTTTCTTTCTTTTTTTTTTCTTTTGAAGGATATTTCAAAAATAAATTCTATACACTCCAAAATCGAATATAATGTCAATAATGTTTTAGAGACACTAAAAAATAAATGAAATGTTCAATTTGTTAATACACTAATCAATAGGGAGTTTTAGTAGATTATCGTTCTTTTTTTTTATATATGCATGATTGATTGCATTTATATACATATGTAAACCATTCATGCACATAATCGTTCTCACATATCTCATAAATACATGTATTATTTAGTCATTTTATGGTTAAAAGTAATCTCACACTCACATAACGTAAGAGGTAAAGTCGTATAACAAAAAAAGAAATTTACAAAACTTATTACAATATATATAATACACATCACGATCCTCGATCGTCAAAAAGGATTTGATACGACTTTGCATGCTATATATCGTCTGTAGTTGCTTTTGGTACATCACACTAGTGTATATTTCGCACCCTTTCTTTTTCGACTTTGGCTGTCTTTGAGTTGTTCATTAGTCTATAGGTTTGACGTAGACATTGAACGTTAATTATTGCGAATTAAGGTGTATGGCATATAGTTTAGGATTAGACTTGAAACACATTACACATATATAACACAATTACACGTATAAGATTAGTTAAAGTGGTACGTATTAACGTATGAGCCCTTGATTGTATTTGTATGTAAGTTTCTTTGTTATATGTTTTGCCTGATAACACATTTTCTTGAACCGTATTCCAAAATTTTGTTCGACTGTTAGTATAAACCGAACAAAGAATTCCAGATAACCGAATGAAATTTCAACCTTTTAACCGATCCGTGTCCGAATTGCAAAAAATACTCTTCAAACGGCGACGTTTCATTGGATCATGACTTAGCACGTTGCATTCATCTCTCTGAGATGTCATGTCTCTGATCACGTGATAGTGATTTTTCAGATCTTATCACTTTCTTCCCCGAGAAAAAATTTGCCCTAAAATCACTTTCCCGGGAAAATCTTAAAAAAATACAAAATCAAAATTGAGAAAAAAAAAATGTCACAAGGCGATACAGTACCGCTTCATCCATCATCATCATCTCAATCAGACATCGACGAGATCGAGAATCTGATTAACGAAAGCGTTCAATCAGGTCCCGGAACCGTTCTCGCCGCTCGTCCACCGAGCCCAACGAGGCCATCGATTCCTGTTTCTTCTTCTCCGTTTATGCAATCGAATCTTCCACCGCTTCATCCGTCTTCATCAGCTCAGAAAGTGACACCTGTCCCCGTACCTCCGCCTCTTCCGGTGGTAAGTAATTCCAGCAATTCTCAAGGAGTCTCACATACGATTGGAGCGAGTGCTTTTGGATCTCCGCCTAACACGTTGACTGAGCCTGTGTGGGATACTGTGAAGCGAGATCTGTCTCGGATCGTGAGTAATTTGAAGCTTGTGGTGTTTCCTAATCCGTATAGGGAAGATCCTGGGAAGGCGCTTAGAGATTGGGATCTTTGGGGTCCCTTCTTCTTCATTGTGTTCTTGGGATTGACTCTTTCATGGTCAGCTTCTGTTAAGAAGGTTAGCTCTCAGCTCACGCAAAGTCCAGTTTTTTAGAGATTATATACGACTAGGCTAGTTCCTCTGAGCTTGTGCAATGAAGATGTGATCTGGAACTTTAGCTTTTGGGTATCTGATAGAGTTCTGTAGAATGTCTCTGTTTCAAAAATGGATGTGAAGATATCATTTCACGGCTTTGGATTGAGATTTTTTCTTCAATTGTGATTGTTTAGATTATAGATGGAACACGATGACCAAAAAGAGGACTGAGGGTTCCTCTATAATTGTTGTTCTTGCGGCATTGCTTCTCATTTGATTCTTAGGTATAGGTTTGTATAAATTTTCTTCCTTGTATAGTGGATCATGTAGGGTTTTGACTCACAAACTAGTGCTTTGGATGTTATCAGCATTTGATAAAGGATTTATTTGAATCTGATGTAGTCACATCTTATCTTCGCAATATTGATGTGGCCAATTCTTTGTACATTTCTGTGTTGAAATTGGTAATTATTGAGATGATGCTGAGATTTTTTACTTTTAAACCACTAATGCCAAAGATGGAACTGATTTACTATATACAAAACTTTGATGCACTTTTGTGATTGTTAATAAAATCTGTGTTAATTGTCATTTGAATGTGAAGTTGTGAGCTTTGGTTCTACTAGACTTGAAAGCCTGAGCCATCCTTCCTAGGTTTCATCTATTGGAATTTCACTTGGTCTCATTCCTTTTTCCTGTGATTCCAGTCCGAGGTATTTGCAGTGGCATTTGCCCTATTAGCAGCAGGAGCAGTGATCCTTACACTAAACGTGCTTCTCCTGGTAAAACACCGCTGCTCTCTCCCTTTATCCCGTACAGGTGTTTGTTGGTTTGATTTCATACTTACACATTGTGTATCGTGTTATGAACAGGGCGGACATATAATCTTCTTCCAGAGCCTGAGCCTTTTAGGTTACTGTCTATTTCCACTAGACGTTGGAGCCGTGATCTGTATGTTGAAAGACAATGTGATACTGAAAATGGTAGTTGTGTCTGTAACACTTGCCTGGAGCTCTTGGGCTGCTTACCCATTCATGAGCTCGGCGGTTAACCCGAGAAGAAAAGCACTCGCTCTGTACCCCGTTTTCCTCATGTATGTGTCAGTCGGTTTCCTCATCATCGCCATCAATTGAAAAATCCAATTTTGAGAATTTTTTTCATACATACACACAAACCATCGTAAGATCTGATGGTCATGTATAAACATGTTCTTTGACCTTTTTTTTTTGGTTTTGGCTAAAGAAATCCTAACTTGTATGTGCCTTGCTCTATCTGTTATTAAACTTACGTTATATCTTTTATGACATGAATACAAATTTTTTACCAACATTACTTCATGTGAGAGAGGTTTACAAATTCAACCGGTTTACAAATAATTCGTAAATTACAAATTTAAAAACCGAATCTTAACTCAAACCGAAAGAGCGTGAACCTTGAGCAGTACAGAGAGAGTTTCATTTCTTTTTTCCCTTCAATCAAACCCTCTCTACTAGTCTCTACCTTTCTTCTTCCTCTTCCGTTACTCGATTCGGTGCCTCGCTTGCTGGTTTGATACTACTGTCAAGTTCCTCGCTTTCTCAACTGTTTCTTATATGGTAATAATCTTCAACTCCTAATTATCCTTGTTGCTTCTGTAATAGAATTGGGTTTAGTGAAACCTCTGCTAACAGTAAGACACACTGTCTTTTGTTGTAGCGAGTTTTTGTGTTTCATGGTAAGTTATTTTCAAGGTTGGTGCTTTGGATATAATGACAGAGACTGGTGATTTATATTTAGAGCTTCCCGAAGATGATCCCTTCTATCAACATAAAAAGGTCTGATTTGCTAATTGTCTCTACTCTTCTGTTATCTCAATACTCAACTCCATTAGCTTTTGCCATGATAGTATCTAAAGATTCGACCTTTTTTTAATATGGAAAACAATTGAAATATTTGTTGTTGTTTATTCTGGCTAATTGAGTTGTTTCTAGGAAGTGGGAACTCTATTAGTCCACTGGTGAATTAAAATAGAGGTGGAATTTTCTTATGGTTTTTGTCTACAGAAGCTCTTGAGTTGCAAAGGTTTAGGTGTAAAGGAAACATTGAGCCTCAGTGGATCATTATCTCAACAGCTCTTGAATGCTGCATTGGGAAAGTTGCTTCAGTTTGGAAGAATAGTTAACCTTGATAAGGTAAACAAATGTCGTAAGCCATCGTAGGCTCGTTCTTGCTTTCTCATGCTTGTGTTTTGATTGTGAAGTTTCTTAGATGATGGATTGTGTGAAAATGCAGGTGGAAGTTTACTTTGGTGAGGATGCTTGCACTCCAACAGGAATTTACAGTGTTAGAAACGAAATCTCAGCTCTTAGCTGGATCCTTTCGCTTATACCGGTTTCTTGTAATATACAAACTCATGTCGTTACCATGGAAGCTCTACGAGCTGCTGTAAAAGGTAGAATCAGTGAGGTTGTTGAAGCGGAAAGGGAGAAGGCTAGAATTGTTGATAGCTATAGATGTGAAAAGGTAAGCAGATTAGTAGAATGGGGTCAGGAAAATGGAGTCAAAACCAAATTGCAGATAGCTCGTAAGTTCAGCAGTTTTTTTCTGTTATGAAGTTAGAAATTTCAGCAATGATGAATAGAGATTTAAGTTTATTACAATGTGTTTTATTTGGACAGAAATTGATGGCTATGGACGAGGAGCTATAGCTAGAGAAGACTTGAAATTTGGCGATGTTGCTTTAGAGATTCCTATCTCAATTATCATTTCTGAGGAGTATGTGCACAACTCCGACATGGTATATCATTATTTTCATCTTGATTTTAAAGATTGCGTCAGTTTCATCTTATCAATGCTATATGATGAGTGTTCTCTTGTCTTCAGTACCCTATATTGGAAAAAATTGATGGGATTACATCTGAGACAATGCTGCTCTTATGGACAATGAGGGAGAAGCATAACCTGGACTCGAAATTCCAACCATACTTAGATTCGCTGCAGGAGAATTTTTGTACCGGTAAAACTGTTTGGTGAACTAAATACCCAGTTCATGTAGCAGTGTTTGTTCCAAAGAGATAACAATCATTGATTCTCATTGCAGGTTTGAGTTTCGGAGTTAATGCAATCATGGAGCTTGATGGTACATTGCTTTTAGATGAAATAATGCAAGCTAAAGAGGTGTGACTAGAACCCCTCTCTTATCTTTTGATTCTGTGATCTGTATTATTTTCTTGATTCCATTAGCTATTGTTTGTATACCTGCAGCTTTTGCGTGAGAGGTATGATGAATTAGTTCCTCTTTTATCGAACCACCGGGATGTGTTTCCACCGGAGTTCTATACATGGGAACATTACTTATGGGCTTGTGAGTTGTATTACTCAAATAGCATGCAAATCAAATTCCCTGATGGAAAGCTGAAGACTTGCTTGATTCCTGTTGCCGGTTTTCTCAACCATTCGGTATGTTTATTCTCTCTTTCTAGTATACTAGGAAAACTCTTATCAGTCTCCTGGTTGATAGTTTGGCGGGTCTGCAGATACACCCACACATAGTAAAATATGGAAAAGTAGACATTGAGACGAGTTCTTTGAAGTTCCCAGTCTCAAGGCCTTGCAACAAAGGGGAACAATGTTTTCTTAGCTACGGAAACTACTCTAGTTCACATCTGTTAACATTTTACGGATTTATACCAAAAGGCGATAACCCGTATGATGTCATTCCCTTAGGTAGTTTACCTTACCTCATTCTGAGATCACTCAACCTTCTTACATATTTTTTCTTTTTTGCCTAAATTTGTATCTCTTCCTTGCAGATTTTGATGTCATTGATGATGAAGACATAGAGACTGAGTTTTCTTGGACAACTCACATGTTACGCGGGACTTGGCTATCGAACAATCACAACATCTTCCACTACGGCTTACCTACTCCCTTGTTGAACTACTTGCGGAGAGCTCATGGTCTTGTTCATCATTCTGAAACAGATGTATCTAAATCTTGATCACCTTCTTATAATTTTCTGTTTGCATCTCTATCTCTGAATCTAACACTTATATTTTATCTCTTCTTGATTCTTTTAAGCTATGGAAGAACTTGGAAATTGAGATGGAAGTACTCGGAACTATCAAATCCACATTTGACGACATGATGCAAAACCTTGGCGATGCGGATTCTATCGACAGGTAAAAGTAGATGTATTTACCATATACGAAAGCTGAAACAGAGTGAGTTAGTTTGCTTATATTTACAGAGAAAACGCTGATTGGGATGTGAAAATGGCGATGGAGTTCAAAGAGCAGCAAAGAAAGATAGTATCTTCCATTCTTGATTCATGTTCTGCAGGTATCAAACTGGTTCAAGACTTTATAACTAAGCCACCAGTTTAGCCAAGCCAGAACGAGATGAGAGTTGGATCTTGGATTATATTCTTCTTGGTTATACACTTATTTCCTAATGGCCAAGGTGGTTAAATTAGGTTTTAGTGGTTAAAGAAACTGAAACCACCTCATATAGAGGGTGTGACTAAGATTCCAACTTTGAAGCATATACAATAATTATAGTCAATGAGCATTATGGTAGTTTTTATTGGCTAATGTTATGTGGCAACATTTAGCACTCATCATTTTTATATATATAGTCGCATTTTTATTATTTATGTTATTTTGAAAACATGTGATATGAATATTTTAATGAATAGATGAAAAGAAAAACTAATGTGTGTGAGACCTTAAGATTTTATTTTTATATACTGCATAAATATTTAGACATTTCTTTATATAGATTTTCATTAGTTTTTTTTTTTTTGTTTGTTGCAACCTTAATAATGTCTCCATATTTTGTTATAATTACTTGCTGAATGCCAAATGAGTCATCAGATTCCATCACCATTTGACTAATACTTTATATATTATCATTTTATTTTTATGTGGGCATAGAGAATTATCTGTATTTTGAGCATATTATAAAAAAGTAAACTAAAATTGGAAACCTAAAATTGGAAACCTAACTGGTGACCAAAAAAAAAAAAAAAAAAAAAATTGGAAACCTAACCAAAAAATATTATTATTCGAAAAAAAATAATTAAAAAAGAAATAGAAGTGGCTGCTGGTGGCAGCAAATTGTTGGGACCCTACTTCCAGGTTACAATATTTTTGTCGTTTTCTTTGCCTCCTAACGAAGAGCTCGGATCTCCTGCATCATAGACCATAGTAATTTCCTACACCTCCCTGTAATAATGAGCCACGTCTCTATAAGAGAGATACAAGTTGGTGTGTGACACTGACAATAATATACAGCTCTTTATTTATTGTTAACTTTAAATAAATAATAAGAAGTCCAAGAGAACTAAAAAAGATTGAATTTTTTTTTGGTTCTCTTGCTCGTTCATTAGCTTTGTTTGATTCTCTTGACTTGTGTGGGTAGCTCCTGACGAAGAAGAAGAAGATGATGATGGTAGTGAACAACAGCTTTGATCTTTGGCAAAAAGATGTTTTCTTCTCTGCCGCTGAAGAGGTTCAAAAATCTGCAGATATGTATGTGTAATTTGTATTTTGGTTTTCGTGTAGTTTGTGATGTCTCTTGATTAATCTCTTTTGAGCTAAGGAACTTTTTAATAGAAATTTAGGATTTTGATTTGTCTTTCTTGTTTCAGAGTTCATTGAATTACTGTATGTGTTCAGAGGATGAAGAGATTGAGATGTGTTTAATTTTGCTATTGTTTAAAGTTTTGATCTTTTTATTTTGTTGGATTATATCAGAATGGAGTCTGCTTATAGATTGTGGATTAGAGAGAAGAAAGATGAGATCTGTAAAGAACTCCAAGCAGCTTTAGGTACAGCTAAATGGCAGGTACAACAATACAATCATGTTTCTTGATTCATTCTCAGTTTTATTGTGTTGTTGTTGTTCTTTGCAAAGTTTTTGTGTGTTTTGATGTATCTTTATTTGTTAATTTGAGTTTTGAAACTGTGGGAATCAGTTGGAGGAGTTTGAGAAAGCAGTCAGGTTGAGCCATAAACGTTGTGGGGATGATAATTCTGCATTGACACGGCGTAAACAGTTTGTTACCGCTATTGAAAACCAGATTAATCGCGTTGAAACTTCTCTGCAAGAGGCTTATAGTGAGAATGGAAAAGAGCGTCTTCGTTGGATTGATCTTAACGAAGAAGAGCGTGATGACTTGGCCATGTTTCTCTCTGGATCTTCTAGGACTTCAGAGAGTTTTAGTGGTGAGAACAGCACTAACTCGAGAGAGTCTACTAATAGTTCCCTAGTTGAGAATCCTCGTGGAATGAATGGAGTGGACGTAGACTGTGGAAAAGAGACATTCAAGAAAGCGAAAGGTTGCGGTAATGGCTCTGATTGTGTCATAGATATTGAAGAAAGAGTAAAACCGGGGAATGCAGATGCAAGGATACGCCAAGTAGAGAAATCAGCTGGGATGAGAAGGATATGGAGTTCACCAAATTTCAATTCTTTGAGGATTATAGTTCCTGGTGATAACGGAGACGAAAATGAGAAATTGGTGGCACAAGTGGAAGCCACTCCTAAAGTCAAAGGAACTAAGACAGTATTGTGGATGCAGAGGCTTCCTGATCATAACCAGGTCAGTTTTCACAATTAGTTGAATTATAAGCTTTACTTGTGAATTGTGATAGGTTGAAGTATCTTACTTGTTTAGTGTTTTTCTTCAGCTCTTTGACCAAACTGGTTGTCTCCAAAATCCGATACGAATACCATTTAATCACCCGATCAAGCTCACTGTTTCCTTAATGCTAATGGTGTTCCTTCTATGTGAGTCACTCTACTTATGTTAGCTTAATGAATCAGCACTTTGCTTATATAAATTTCGATCTTCAGAGTGTTTTAATTCGCAAACAAGCATTGATTTTTCACTTGTTTAAACCGATGCAGTACCCTTCTTAGTGTATTCATCTTGAGAACTCAACCAACCACGGTTTGAAACTGTTGAAGAAGCTAAAGAGATCATCAGCTTTCGCATCTAACGGTTAGGATTCATCATCCCACAAGAACACAAACAGAGATTAAAAAGTTTTTTGTTGTCTGTAATGTAATTGGCATATACTTTACTTTTGTTTGTTGCTTTGGTTCTTCAGGGAACATATATAGATAAACAGAAACTTGTAAGATTAAGTAAAGGGGGTAGAGATTATAGTATACTACGGCTTTGGCTACCGTTGATAAAGATGTATATTGAAAATATATTTCGTAGATGTTTGACAATACGCTGTAAGAAATCAAGATTTATGCTATGTTTTGTACGAGCAATTTATCAAATAGATGATACATTTTGAAAGAGTTTGCTCTCTAAACCAAGATCGTTGAATCATTTATTTGGTAAGGACCAAGAACGTTAAATCTTTTTTTTTTTGGTAAGGACCAAGTTATATTATGTCTTGCTAATTCCTAGATATACTGGCTTCTAAAGCTGTCGGCCTAATTCCTTAAAACAGACGGTCGATTTTGTTCATAACTTATTATTATTCTGGACAGATTGTTAATTAGTGTATAATCATAAGATTCCGGATACTATAAAATTTTCAGGCCAGTTCGAAACCATGTGTCTTGAGAGACTAGGGTGTGCAAATGATTGGCCTTTATAATTGTCTACCTAAAAATAATCTAAAGAATCTTTAAAGCTTGGAGATACAATCAAAGTTGTATACATGAGGTTATCTAAATGAAGCTATATAGAGTTATATTGTATTAAGAGATATATTTCATCTACTAAATTTGTAAATCTATATTATTTTCTTAAATGTAAAGAAAGAAAAGAGATTAAAGATATTTTATTAGAAAGTTTTCTAGCACTCAAACTTGTCTTTATTTACTAGCTACAATTAAGCACAACACTTGTCTAATTATCAAATCTGACATGTCTAATTAACTCTTGAACCAGCCAATTACTTTAGTTCTTAATTCATAATGAAGGTAAACCAAGTGTTTTTAACTTGACACGTATTTAATATAAATACCACATATCTACAAAAACGTATCCGATTTCTTACAACCAATATATAGTGAAAAACGGTAGGAAACAGCTGTTTTATTTAGCACCGTTCGATAGAAATATGATCTTGCCATTCTATAAATCATTTTTGCTAAGAAATCCTCTATATGATTACCTACCTAAATGATATATAGTAGATTTTTAACATATAGAAAACGTTACGTTTTGATTTTAAAGTTTTTGTAAGAACCTTATCATTGTTCTTCCCCAATCTCTTCTCTTCTTTCACTAGGTTCTCTTCAGTTCTCTCTCATGGCCTCTTCTTCATTCGACGGTAATTCTCTTTTTGGTTTCTGGATTTCCATAGTTCTTAGAAATTTTGATTTTCACAAGATTTATTGCTAGGTTGTTTAGTTTGAATCCTTGGAACTGTAGTTGGAGTTTTTTCTTTCTTTTGTGCATTAGATTTGTGAAGATGAACATATATAGTGATGCTTTTACAACTTTACTAGCTAGGTGGTGTAAGATTATCGTGTTCTTTCCAATATTTTTCCATCTCCATGAGCTCATATTGGTTGATGAATGCTGATTCCAATATTAATTGATGGGGTCATTTAACTTCATGCAGTAGGTGCAAGTACCTCAAGGGTTATAACAATAAGTGATGATAAAAAGAGTAGAAGGAAAAACACTACGCCTCGTCATTTGAGTTCCTATGGGAAGAAGACTAGTAAAGCTCCAGTTCAAGCTCCAGGTACGTAAAGGAACATGTTTATAGTCCATGCATTTTACATAGTTTCTCACACATTGCAACAAAATTGTTTTCATCATTAGAAACTGACATCAAGGGGAAAGGGAAAAGAGTTTGCTTCAAAACCGAATCTGATGTAGGTGAGATGATGAAGATCAGAGACATGAATTGTCCTAGAGAAACACAGTTGGTCATAAAAGAACCTGTCCAGGAGAATCTGCCCGTTGTGAGGTCAGACCAAACCAATAACCGTCAAGACAGACCTGAGAAGGAGAAGAATCCGGAGAGCTATGGTTTCAAGCAATGCGTGAAGCTGATACGACAGCTAGAGTGTTCTAATCTCATCCAGAGTAGTTTTCGCCAAAAGTTCTTGACATGGTTCAGCTTAAAAGCGACGGCTGATGAGACAGTTGTGGTCAAGACATTCATCCATTCTTTCCAGGATGATTCAGTTGCTCTAGCTGAACAGCTCGTTGACATATTCTCTTATTGCGCATCAATGAAGGGTTCTGCCAATACTGGCTTAGGTGTTGGCGTTGGCGGTGATGGAGGTGGTAGTAGTGGTGCCTCATGTAAGAAGCCTCGACATTGATTTAGTGTGGAGGGTGCCTCATACAAGCATTATTCATGTTTCAAGTTTGAGTATTTTGTTTTCTTTGTTTGGGATCATCACTTAGAAAGAGTCTCAACTTCTATTTTATCTACATTATAATTTTTATAGCATTATTTGGATTATTTTCATGGATTTTGTGTTGAGTTATATAAATGTTTATGTTCCATATAACCAAAGAAAAAATCAATTTAAAAGAGGAACCATACTTGAACATAATTAACATTATTGGGCCTTATTAGACCGCCACAACGTTTAAGCCCAAATATTATTTATGACCGTTAGTGATTGATTATTCTACTTCTTTCTTCTGATGATTATAAAAAAACAACGCTCTCTTTGAAATCGATGGAGCCAAAACTCAAAACCCTAATTTGCATTCCAGATCCTCTCCATTGTCTCTTTTTCTCTCTCTCTCATTCGCAACAATGGAGGAATCAGTCGATGGTGGTGTGATGACGATGCTCGTGAGGGTTCGATTTCATAAACGGAGAACAAACGAAGTTCTGGTTTGAATCGGTAGGTTTCAATTTCTTTGTGGATTTCATAATAACATGGTTTAGGGTTTACTTTGAAGCAAAGTGTTAGATTTGGGAATTGCGTTCTCTTTCTGTCTCCATCGTCGGTGTTTTAGTTTCAGATCCTAGGGTTTCAGAACGATTTGGGGGTTTTTTCGTTTCCAGATCTCTGGTTTTGATTTTAGCGGTGCTTGTAATCTCTCTAATTCAAACTATTTAGTCTTCAATAGATTACAACTCTGTTTCGTTATCTTTTATGTGATTTCAAGTTCTCTTTAATGCAGATTCAGAGATCATTCAAGGTATAGACCATCTTCAGTGAAGAAGAATATACTCTGCCTTTGTTATGGAACAAACTGGAAAGAATCTGCTTCATCCGTGAATGAGTTTTAATGTCACTGACGTATTGCACAAAAGGGGGATTTTTCTGAGTACCCATCAAGTTACGCATAGGGAAACTCCACGAACTGTTGTGAAGCAGTTTAACTTTGCTGCAGTATCTTGGTGGAGAGGTTGAAACCTACCATGTATCACATTCTAATTTCTAGATAATGCTTGATTAAGACATGGGATATGCTCAATCACCGACGATGAGCTTGAACCTGTATAAGCCAGAGACTTCTTCTACAATGTTTGGAGCCAATGAGGTGAATCTTATTTCTGATAGTTTTAACCATTCCTTCAAATAAAATCAGTAATACTGAAATATATATATTCAAAATTGTGCAGGTTGAGGTTGACCGTGTGATAGGTTGAACCAAAATTATAAGGTGTGGTATCAATTACGGGTGTGGAAAAAAGCTTTAATCATGCTTTTGATTTGGGTCAGGTTAGCTTGAATTTGGTTTGGATTCTTAATTTACACTAAATGTTCCATATAAGGCTGGTTAGTTGGCTATGAATGACCCTGTTCTTGATGTTATAGCGAAAGTGAGACTGCCCTAGATTTCTATAAATACGTCATGATCATAGTCAACAAGCTGAAAAGAAAATGCATGGTCTGCAGGCTTTCCTGTCTAAATATTAACAGTCCCTATTCAGGTTCCTAGTCACCGGGATGAAAACTATCCTCTTGGTCGAGGTAATCAAAATTACCACTCTAAATGTCCATGTCCCTGATGATTGATTAAAATTGTGATAGTCCCAATTCTGTAAATTCTCGGGTTTGCCTTGTTTCGGTCGAGGTAATCAAAATTACCTCTTTGAATGTCCCTGTCCCTGTTGGTAGAAAGTAAAAAAGACAGTCCTAATGCTATAGATTCTCGGGTTCCTTTGCCCCAAGCTAAAAACAAATGCCTCGTCTTGGTTGAGGTAATCAAAATTACCTCTCTTAATGTCCCTGTCCCTAACGGTAAAATGAAAAAGAGACAGTCCCAATGTTTTACATACTCGTGTTCCTAGTCACCACGCTGGAAACAAATGCCTCGTCTCGGTCGAGGTAATCAAAATTACCTCTCTTAATGTCCCTCTGTCCCTAACGGTACAATGAAAACGAGACAGTCCCAATGTAGATTCTCGGGTTCCTAATCAGCGAGCTGGAAACAAATGCCTCGTCGCGGTCGAGGTAATCAAAAGTACCTCTCTGAATGTCCCTGTCCCGTTGGTAGAACGTAAATGAGATAGTCCCAATGTTTTAGATTCTCGGGTTCCTAGTCACCACGCTGGAAACAAATGCCTCGTCTCGGTGGAGGTAATCAAAATTACCTCTCTGAACGTCCATGTCCCTGATGGTAGAACGAAAATGAGACAGTCCTAATGCTTTAGATTCTCTGGTTCCTAGTCAGCAAGATGAAAACAAATGCCTCGTCTCGGTTAAGGTAATCCAAATTACCTCTCTGAATGTCCCTGTCCCCGATGGTAGAACGAAAACGAGACAGTCCCAGTGCTTTAGATTCTCGGGTTTCTAGTCACCGAGCTGAAAACAAATGCCTCGACTCGGTTAAGGTAATAAAAATTACCTCTCTCAATGTCCTTGTAGCTGATGGTAGAACAAAAAAAAAGACAGTCCCAGACTTTTAAAGTCTCGGGTCCAAGTCACTCGTGTCAAATGAGATTCCCATTGATTCAGGGGTTTAGTCATCTGACCCAAAAACACAAATGCCTCGATCTGGTCTGTTGTCTTATTATACATTAATGAGCTTGAGATATGTCGCTGAAAGTACTTATGCCAAAATAAATCTCCTCGATGACCCAAATCAGGTAGTTCCTTAACTCTTTGACTTGCTTAAATTATCTCTTCGTTAATATGCAGAAGTATGACATTCATGGAGCATGCATGATCAAGCGTACAAGTTTGAGGTATGTGGATGATTAAATGTTCTACGTATGTGAATTAAGGTATGTGAATTTCTATTTCTTCTAAATCCTATGCTTTACTACTTGATCTAGTTTCGTTATACTATTGTTTCTAAGCTTAATCTTTTTCTTTTGTTCGGTTGTTCAATAAACTCACTATTGTGAAGACACCAAATGTATCAAACAACTTACATATATATGTTAACATCAATATATTTATTTGCAGGCAGCTGTTCTCCACTATTTGAAGATCATCATAAGAGTTTCAGGTTATTCTTTTGCACCCTTTCATAAGACTTCTGAATAAGAACTGGAATCACCAATCATTCAAAATCATGCATATTGCATTTGCTTAAGTTTCTCTCTTGTTCTAAACATAAAGTTGGTACATATAAGCTTATTAGCATACTTTGTTCATGAAGGATGAGGAGTTCTTATAAATTGTTACCGTTGAATCTGGAAAAATATAGTAAATTACTTGATAAAATGGTAATTTCTAACCCAAATCAAACAGTTTAGTTTGAAGTTATTCTGCTTTATCGTTCTTGATACTTCCAGTTTGGAAATATTGATTTTATGCTTTTCTTGTAACTTTGTTTCCTATGACTGCTGATTATTTGTTATACTTGGTCTATAAACTGACCACTGCTTACGGGTGTATTTGAATAACACATGAATCTCTTAGTTTTGTAAATCATATGTATCTGATTTTGAATATGTTTGCTTCCTTTATAGTTTTATCATTTCTTGTTGGTATTCTTGTTATGGTCTTTGCTTGGTTATTCAGGTTTCAGCCACAATCGGATGAAACCTTAAATGCTATTAGTCATGTTATGATGATCATCATCATGTGAAGTTTGCATTTTCTGAGTCTTAATTATGACTTTGTTTCGAGTGTTTGTGCTCATATCACTTAAAGCATGAATCTCTTAGTTTTGTAAATCTTCTGCATCTGATTTTGAATATGTTTGCCTCCTTTATAGATATATTATTTCTTATTCGTATAATTGTTATGGTCTTTGCTTGGTTATTCGGGTTTCAGCCACAGTCGAATAAAGCCTTAGATGCTATTGTTCATGTTACGATCATCATCATCATCATGTGAATTGTGCATTTTCTGTATGACTATGTTTGTAGTGTTTGCTTCCTTTATATGGTTTTATTATTTCTTGTTGATAGTCTTGTTATATTCTTTGCTTGGTTATTCAGGTTTCATCCATTATCGGATGAAACCTTAGATGCTATTATTCATGTTACAGTCATTACCATCATGTCAAGTTTGCATTTTCTGAGTCTTTTTTATGACTTTGTTTGTAATGTTTGTGCTCATGTCACTTAAAACAGTTTGCTATACTAATAGTTTGTTATCTGGTTTTGTTTGTAAAAGTTCCATAGAGGACTGAGTTGGTGAGAGTAAAAGTATTGGTTAGTGTAGTGTCCTTAGGTGACTAGACTTAAAATGATGTGATTCATTTCTTCACCTGTGATTTTTCTGTGTAACATTTATTCATAGAAATTGTCTAATTTAATATTTGGTGGCATCTAAGATTCCTTTATACAAAATCAGAAGCTGCATTTCTTTTCGTTTCTTTTATTTGTAATGTGAGTGATACGTGCAATAGTTATTGTGTGTTTTCGTGTAGGTAAAATTAGTATGTGACACCCCTGAAACTATAGTTGTGTGTGTGCTTACCATAAAATAGTGTTTTACACCATATTATTGAACAATGCCTTCTCTTACCTGTGTAGAATGATTGATTCGATGAGTTTTTCTGTGTTTGCTTATAACTGATTCCAAGAGAAACTTATGTGAGATATGTGAGGTCTGTCTTAATGCAAACCCAGTTTGCTTTATGCAAGCTTTTGTAATATCATTGAGGAATATGCAAAGCTGTATTGTTCTCACTGTGATATTTTTTCTGATTATTCATTTGGCTTACACTTAGTATTAATCACCTCGTTGCTTTGTTACTTTCTCGGTTCTCTTTGCAAGTATATTGTTTTCCCTTCTTTGTCTTCTTGTTGTAAACGTATGCTCTTGTTTGTTGAGATTCTCAGTCTTTACATTTTTTCTAGACTGAATTGAATCAAAGTTTGGTTTATAGACAAAAACCAATTGCCTGATATATGCATTCTGCCATTCTCCTAATCATCTTTTTTTTTTCTTTGTTTTGTTTATTTAGTATTTTTAATGCATATTTTATCCTTTTTAGTGTATTTACAAAGAGTATAGTAAAAAATTATACTTTAATAGATTTATAACTTGTGTGAAACATGTCAAATTCACAAAAAAAAAATGTTACAAATTTATATCAAATCAAGAGTTCAAGTTATAAATTGTAAGAATTTACATTAAATGTCATTAGAAAAAGTTTAAAAAAAAAAACACTTAAGGTAATAAATATAATTAAATAAATAATCAAACAAATTAAACAAATATATTGGTTGTTTGGATATACAAATACTGATATAAGATACATAAATATTCAATTAAATAATAACAAAAAAAAATATTACAAATTTATATCAAATCAAGAGTTCAAGTTACCTAATATTATGGTAAAGCGGAAATATAAAACACATCAGAGAGTGTAAGACTACAATTAGAAAACGAATAGCATTATATTAGTTAAACATTAATAAAATTATTTTCCAAAACGATTACAGAAAAAAAAGTTTTATTGCTCAGCACGACTACAACGAACGTTGCTAAGAACCAACGTGGCATCTCCCGCCCAACAATCCAGCAAAGTTAGTTATCGAATGTTTTTTTTATACAATTTATTCTCAGTAATGCGATAGACCCAACAAAACTAGTCTCAACCAGTAATAAAATGACACGTAAGCAAATCTAATCGTACCAATTTAACAATCACGTGAAGAAACACGGATACATTGAGTGCACCGCAACGTACACAATCAAAAACAGCTATTTAAAATTATAATTAATTTAGTTTCATTTAATTATTTCTCTGCTCACTCCCCAAGAAAGATAGATCTATCCAAGAGAGACACACATTCACTGTTTTTTGACTCACTTTTTTTTTAATTTTTTGGATTTTGGTGAAAAGTTGAATTTGTCTCTTTCTCTTTTTCACTTTTTTCTCTCCGGCGTCAATTTCACGGCGGATACACGGCGGTCAACTATGTCATTGACTGTACCGGAATTCGATTTCAGAGTACGTCTTCTCTCTCTCTCGTTACTCTACACTGCTTCGCGAATTGTCTCTTAAGGTTCATTTCGTGTGTTTGCTTCTTTTTCCTTGTAGTTGACGTCGCCGCCTCAGTTTGGTTTTTCACCGATCGGGTGAGTTTTCTGATTTCTCGGTTCATTCCGTGTTTATCTTCTTCGATTGGATTCGGTTTTGACTCTGTTTCTCAATCAGGGAGCATAATTTCGCCGATGTTGATAATCTCGAGAACTGTGTCAAGTATCTGAATCAGAGCTTAGTCACCTATGGATTCTCAGCTTCGCTTGACCTCTTCGCTACCGATCCTGTGCGTGCGTTTTTTTAATCAAAATCTCTTATGGTTTTTTGTTTTGTTTGTTTTTGATGAATCTGATTCGATGAACTTGTTTTTAGGTTTCGATTGCGAGAACTTGCAATTGTATATACGCTTTGATCCAACAGAGGCAACGAGATGTGGAATTTAGAGAATCTTCTAATGATCAGAGACAACGGTGAGATTTTTTAGTCTTTTACTTGAATGATGATTTTTTCTGTGTTGCATTCTGAATTTATGATAGTGCTCAATCTTAATGCTTCTATTGCTCTGGATGAGATAGACTCTGTGATCTAGATAAAGAATTTTGTTACTGTTTTTGGTTTTGGTTTTTTGTGTGTTTAGAATATTGTTTTGGTGAAATTCATTTGGGAGTAATGAAGAAGACAAAAATGCTGGCATAAAAGTTACTGAAATTGCTACTTTCTTTGTATGCATGTTGAAGTATTTTTTGCCTTTGCTCTTTTTTTTTTTTGGTTTGATTCAGACTTTTATCTGACATGGCGAGACTTGAGGCAAAAGTTGAAAGGCTTGAGACTCAATTGCAATCTAAGGAGAGGGAACTTGGTTCTGTCACAAGAACGGAAGCCAAGAATACAGCGGCTTTAAAGGCCCATAACGAGAAGTTGCAGAAAGAGAGAGATGAGTTTCAGCGGATGGTGATTGCTAACCAGGTTTGGATCATTGCTTAATTTACCAGCTAGATATCTCTGTTTTTTGTAATGTTTCAAAGAATTTGGGAATCCTGATGCAGTGCCCTTTGAACCTTTTGTTTTCTTTTTGTATGAAAGCAAGTTAAAACCCAACAATTACATGAAACCAAGAAGAAAGAAAAGGAGTACATTAAGTTACAGGTATAGGCTCACACTCCAAGTTCTAAGTGTTTGTAATGTAAGTCGAGTAGTAGTTAATGAAAAATTGCATCTTATTTTAGGAGAGGTTAAACCAAGTTTTGATGGAGAAAAAGAAAGAAACGAGATCAGGCATGGAGATTATGAATCTACTGCAGGTACTCGTTTGGAATTTTAATAACTGACTATTGAGTTTTCCTTGGATCTCTCCTTTGGCTAATGAATATTCTCGGGTATATATTCACAGAAAGAAGGCAGACAGCGTGGGACATGGAGCGGGAAGAAAGCTGACTCTGATTTCTACAAAAAAATTGTAACCACAACGACAGAATTAGCTACTCATGCCTTATATTCCATTGAATTGATGCGTTACTTATATTATTGGCGCGATATAATCTTGTCAGGTGGATGCATATGAGGCGAAAAACCAAGAACTGATGGCAGAGAACACTGATCTGAGAGCGTTACTGCGATCCACGCAGGTTATTTGCTTAGTCTTTTTCATCCCATCTGTAAAAAAAAACTGTGTAAAAGAATCTTTATATTGATAAACTATGATACGTTTTGACAGGGAGACATGCGTTCTTTCTTGAATGCTTCCGGAGGATTAACCAACCAATCTTTGATAGCTAATGGAAGACAAGGTGCAGACCCTTCTCAGTCTCCATTGGGCGGGAAGACGGTACATAAATCTCATTACAAGATAAATCATTTATCGATTGATTCCCGTTGTATACAATTCACAACCAAAACACTAGTACATACCAACAGGAAAGAATATTGGTATTGACAGGATATGTTCGACCTACCTTTTCGTATGGCTCGAGGTCAAATAGAAGATAGTTTGCGCACGAAGATGGTTTCCATTAAGGTAAAATGAAAACTTTTAAGCATTCAATCATATTTTATAGTTTCTCATTTACTAACCTGTTCCATTTTTTTTTGTTTGTTTTGATATATGAAAGGAACGTATGGGTCAGTTAGTAGATGCACAAAAAGAAGTGTCTATTACTTCAGAAGCGTCAGAGAGGGAACTTGAACTTGAAGCACAACTCGTAGAGGCACGCAGTATTATTCAAGAACAGGTCTGTTAAAGCACATTCTTCTTTGATTTCTCAATTCCTATGATATCATCCGCAAACAATCCAAATCTACAATCTTCTGATGCAGGAATCTATAATGTCTAAACATTTACCTAAGACAGACCGGAGAAGGAACTCAGCTCCTCCGCAATCTTCCAACGGACTGCGTGGCTGAATGATTAGATTGTGAATGCCAGGTTCAAAATATGAAAATCTCTTCCTGTAATTTCTCTTGTTTTAACAAAGAAATGTCTTATGTCTTTCGAATCAAATCACAGGAAGATAACATTAAGAGTTTATATAAAAATTAATATGAATGTGGATTCGTGCTTGTAACGTTGTACAGAACAATTGCTGACAGCAAGTTGCAAGCTTTTAGAGTATTATAGATGAATGAGTGATTGGTTGTAATCATGTAGTTACGTTTTTTCTTCATAATACATATGATTATCCTTAGAAATAAATCTAATTATTAGTGAACTATGTTACTATTACTTCTAAAATAGACGTTATTATCTCAAGTGTAAAGTGTAAACCATGTAACAATCCAAATTGACACAAACACAAATCTAGGCAATTATCATGCTGTTTTAACAAGATATAAAATATTGGGTAAACTATAGCATATAAGTTTGATGTAAAAATATTGAAATTACTCGTATTTCAAACTAGAAGAATCAAAGCCTTTTGTAACCAAATTCTTATTGTATGTGTTTAGAAAACAACACACCGGTATCTCTAACAAACTTAACCACACATTTTAGTGGTAAAAATTAATTTACACTTCAGTTTTGATTTTTTTTTAAAAAAAATACAAATACCAAAAAATCTTATGTGAGAATTAAAAATGGCAGTTCTTTTGTTGAAATTTTTAAATTTTTATTTTTGTCACTTTTATGAAAGAATTATATAAAAAATAAGGATACATAATTATTTTATTAATTGTAATAGACTAATTTTGAAATACATGAATTATTTCCCTGATTAAAAGGATAATGTATATGTATATTTTATTATAATTTTATATGATACAAATATTAATCGGCGACCTTTGATAACCACTAAAACCGAGTGTGGCTTAAGATACCCCTATTGAGGATGTCCTAAGGGTTTGAGGGCGCACCTAAAACTTTATATGAATTGAGATCTCATATACACTTACATAGGGAGTTGCAAACAAGATAAATAGTGCATGAATGGTTACGTTTGTAGCTTTATAATTTTGACTGTAGGTTTTAAGTTGTAAATTATTTTGTTGTAATTGTAGCTTTTATTGTTGTAATATTTTGGTTGTAAAAATTAATATTTGGAAAGCATAAAATATGTTCTTTAGAAAAATGACTTTTTACAGCTAAAAAATAATTAAATAAAAAGATTTGGTTGTGAATAAAAAAGAGAAATATAAACATTGTAAAGCATGATTACTTTAGATATTGAGTTGTAAATATTTATATGGCTCTAAAAAGATTCCAACGCATCAACCAATCAAGCCCATACACTCAAGATTCACACCAAGTGTCACTCTAAAACATATTACAGAAGGAAATCTATAGCTATATCATACTGCTTTTGGTCATATTTGATTTAAATAAATTTAAAATGGTCCGGCACAATTAATTAAGATATATAGTAAAAATTTATGAAGATATAAAGTGGTCAAAATTCATTAAAAATGTGACAGACACATTTTAAAAACTTCTTTTGGCCGCCAGTTATTTAGATTCCGCTTTTGACAACTAAGATTTCATATTTTCTAGGGTTTTGGAGTGCGGCTAAATTTTTTCCCTATATAAAGAGAACTTCACATATATTTTCGAGAGGCGCCGGAACACAGGGTTGAGCGACGATTCATCGTTTACATCAATCAGAACTCGAGTTCCTATTAGAGAGAAATCCTATATAGTTTCATTAATTTTTAATCTAGATTCATATAAGAGTAGATCTTGTGCGATATACACCACCTTTTCCGATCAATAACATCAAAGAGATCATTTTCTTACAGCAATCTCATACGGTATGTCAAATGCCTAACTTTAGATTTCTTTCTGTTATGTTGAATTCTTGTAATATCTTTTGAGTTTATTGTAGATTTTCATCTAATAATAATTGAAAATATTTACATAAACCATTTGTATTGTGAATTCTTGATTTTATTGATTGATATGTGATTGTGTGTATTATATGCAATTCAATGGAATCTAGTTAAGATCTTGGGTAAAGGATAAACATAAATGTTTACACTATATTGGTTAGGGGTAGAACGGATTCGAATATCTGGAATTTCAGGATATTCAGATTTAGATATTGGATTCCGGAACACTGGTCATTTTGGATCCATGTTTTAAGTCTTTCATCCATGTTAGTTATGTTCACCTTTGGAATTAACCCGGAGCCCTTGAAATCCGAATGCATAAGTTTTTTTCTCAACTTTTAACAATAGCAATCTAAATTTTCATCTACTCTTAGAATAATTAGTCAAAATGGGGTTTTCTTTACTAATAGTTTGGGGTAAAACAATATTTGTTCAAGATTCAAAAGTCTTAGTTTCCCTTTTCACAACAAATGGTATAGTTCTCCATCAGGATTTGATATCTTTCTGATTCCAGTTTTCATAAGATCATGCATGCATCCATTCTTTTCCCAACTTCTTGTGATATGAGCATTGTATATGTTTCTGGTGCCACTAGAATCATGTAACTATTAAGTAACGTTAGCTTCAATTGCTTCTCCTTTTTTTGTTTAACATATAAGAAGTTTAGTTTGGAATACAGTTTCTTGAAGTGATATTTCACTTCCTTTTTATTTTATTTTATCTTCCTCTATCTTTTATCATATGTCTCACATCATCTCTAATTCCTTAGGCACAACTTCATCCAAATCATTGTTTCTCTAACATACTTAACATTATCTCTAAGCTTTTCAAAGATCCTTGGAAAACATTTCAACACATAAATTTCACAACCTCAATCATTAAATATATATACACATTATTGTGAAATGTAGTTTTAAAAATAATTACTCTAATTAGCTAAAAATAACGAACAAATTTGTATGAAATGAATAGAAACTTTTAAGGAACTAATATGCAAAAATACGAATGACATGCATATCCTTTGGCCCTGATTTATAAAAACTATTTTTATTTCGTCTCTTTCTTCTCTCCGTTCAACAAAAATTGAACCTTTTTGTAGATAAATAGAGACAAGAACCATTTGATTTTTGTAGCTTTGGTGGAAGAACTCTTTGTTTGCATTCTTCTTCTCTTTAACGAACGATCTCTCTAGTTCGTCACAATCTGTTTTCTCTGGTTTAGTCCATACGCTCACAAGTTTTCTCTTTCAAGTCTCATTTTGTTTACTTGTTCTCTCTTTCGTTGCAGGTAACGTGGGTTTGGATTAGGCTCTCTAGTTTCTACTACCCTCTTTCATGGCGTCTTTTGATAAAGGTAATGTCTTTTATATTTGGGCTATGCAATTCCTAGTTTTTAGAGACTTTTTCAGCGTCGTGATGGTTTTATTAGTTTACTTTTGATTACTGTGTTATTGATTCTACATCCTCTAATATAGAGAGCTCTTTTTATTTGGAAAGTTTCCTGATTGCGAGTCTTTCTACTGTTCTAGTTTGTTGCTTCTAAAACACATTTTCAGGCTCACTAGTTGATGTGTTTTACCATAAAAGAGGAAACTTTCCCTGTGTCTGAGGTGTTCTTCGAACTTATAGTAATGAATGTGGATTCTTTTTTATAAAAAATGAAACCTTTATGGGTTCTTGCTTTGACATAGTACTGAATGTGGAAACATGTAGCTTGTTCTTTTCTGGGTTTTGTGAGTTTTGTATTGTTGTTTGGATTTCTCAGACTAGTTGATGTCTCAGCATCATGTAGAATTTGTGTGTTTTCTCTAAGGTACTAGTTGACGTTTCTTTGTGTTACTGTAGATGGTACCAGATTAGAATTTCTAGTTGCATAAGTTTTGGTCTGAAACCAGGCTTCTAAATTTGGTAAACAGGCTTATGTAGCTTTTATGTCTGAGTCTTTGTGGCAGTCTTTGTCTAATTTGCGTTCCTGTCATGAAGAATTATTGGTGAAACAATGTTAAGAGTCGTGTTGCCATTGAAATGTAAATTTACGTCCTTTTCTCTGCAGGTGACTCAGTGGATTGGTATGCAAGCACTTTCAGTGACAGGAGACAGCTTGTCTATAGTCTGTCGAAAGGTTCTGTTAGAGCCTTTAGAAAAGTCTTGCAGGACTGGTCTTGTGATGCGATTCGAGAAGTGTTAAATGCAGAATCAGAGAAAGTAAGAAAACACACCGGCTTGACGAAAATTGAGATCATCAACAAGCTTTTCAAAACCGTATCAGAGAAAAACACTGGAGATTTGGAGGTAGAAGAGATGCCTTCATCATCAAAAAGACAGAGGAAAGATCTTGGTCCTTTGCACGATGTGACTCCCTCAGCTAAAATTAAAGGTAACAGACATGTTCTGCAGTAGTAATAAATGTGGATTCTTCTTAGAGAACCTTTGTGAATTCACTTGCTTTGACTTAGATGAACTGGGGTTTTTGAGTTTTTGTGTTGTTGTTTCAGTTACTCAGACTTGTTGATGTCAATATGTAGAATTTGTGTGTTTTGTTCTGCAGTACTAGTTGAGGTTTCTTTGTGTTATTGCACATGGTACCAAATAATAATTTTTAGTTGCATAAGTTTTAATCTTAAGCCATTCTTCTAAATTAGGCTAACAAACTCATGTAGCTTCTATGGCTGAGTCTTGGAAGCAGTCTTTGTCTATTTTGTGTTCCTGTTATGAAGAATTATTGTTAATACATTGTTATTTTAGGAGTTGTGTTTCGATTGAGATGTAAGTTTCCTGATTGTGAGTATTTCTACTTTTCTAGTTTGTTGCTTCTAAAACACATTTTCTAGTTCATTTTTTGATGTGTCGTACCATAAAAGAGTTTCTTGGAACTTATTGTAACTTTCTTTGTGTCTGAAACCACATGGTAACAGATTAGAATTTCTAGTTGCATAGGTTTTGATCTGAAACCATTCTTCTAAATTTGGTTAACAAGCTTTATGTATCAGTCTTGGAAGCAGTCTTCGTCTAATTTGTGTTCATGTCATGAAGAATGTAAGTTTACGTCCTTTTCTCTTCATTCAGGAGCAGCAGGTGACTCAACCGGAATCAATAAAATGAGTGCCGATCAAAGGAAACAGCTCGTCTATGAACTGTCGAAAGATTCCAGTGTTGCCTTAAAAAATGTTTTGCAGGACTGGCCCTGCGATGAGATTCGAGAGATATTGTGTGCAGAATCAGAGAATGGACTAAAATACACAGGATTGACGAAAGATGAGATCATTAACAAGCTTTTTAAAACCTTATCAAAGAAAAACACTGGAGATCCTGAGGTAGAAGAGAGGGATTCATCACCAAAAAGACAGAGTAAAGATTCTGATCCTTTGCAAGATGTGACTCCGTCAGCTAAAACTAAAGGTAACAAACACGTTCTGCAGTAGTATTTATATCATTCTACTGTTTCTATATGCTAACTTGAACATAGCATTGATCAGGGAATGGTACTATCCGCTGTAAAAACTTGGCTTGCCAGGCTAAACTGAGAAGGGGAAACACTTTTTGCCGAAGGTGCTCCTGTTGTGTCTGCCATAAGTATGATGACAATAAAGATCCTAGTCTCTGGTTAACCTGCAATTCGGATTCTTCATTAGACGATGAATCTTGTGGCTTGTCGTGCCATCTGAATTGCGCTTTCAAGAGTGAAAATTCGGGTATGAAGGAGGATAACATTAGTAATGATGTTGATGGATACTACCTTTGCGTCTCCTGCGGAAAAAGGAATTGTCTACTCGAGTAAAATCAATCACACTATCTTCTATCCTATAATTTTATACTATCTTTGATGGATACTTATTTTCTCTCTTTTATTTTCTTCTCAGATGTTTGAAGAAGCAACTGTTAGTTGCCAAGGAAGAACGAAGAACAGACGTACTTTGTCTTCGTCTTCTCTCGGCTCAGAAGCTCCTAAAGGGCACAAAGAAGTACAGTGTTATATTAAATAATGTGGAGAAAGCTTCGAAGTATTTAGAAACTGAACTCGGTGGTCCTCTTACTGGTCCTCCATCAAATATGAGTAGAGGGATCGTTAACAAACTTGTCTGCGTAAATAAAGTGAAGGTAGAATGCGCTTCTGCTTTGAAAGAGATTGATCGTCAACTTCTGTCTTCTAAGATGCAAAGTAAGATCAATAAACACTTATGATCAATTAGTACAGTACTTTTGTTTTCTTCTTCAGTGCTTGATTTGATATGAATAACAGGTTCGTGGAAGATGAGATTTGAGAATGTTTTCGCGAATTCTGTCACTTTGGTTATTGGAGCTGAAGAATCTTCCTCAAGGGACACCACCATTCATTACACTGTATGGCATCGTAAGAGCTCAGAGAAAGACTACCCAAGAGATTGGACTTGTGAATTGTTCAGTCCAGACACAAGGTATGAGGTCTTTGGTCTAACTCCAGCTACAGATTATTGCTTCAAAGTTGTTTGCTTTAGCGGCGCCAAAGAATTGAGCGTAGATGAATCCACAGTCTCTACACTAAACCTCGAAGATGAAGTAATGTCAAATATTCTACTTGGCTTTAAAAGCGGTATTACCGACTGCAACAATCTTTCACCTCCACCGCCTTTAGTGGGACCTGAATTCAACAGTGAAGGCCAAAGGCAAAAAAAGGATCACCTCGAAGAAGAAGTAGCGACCGAAGTTTTAACTGGTTCTGATGTCATACAGATGAAGCAAAACAATTCTAGTGAAGAAAAAGAGTTGGTCCTGGAGGATTTGTCCATCCCTCCGCCCCCTAGATTCAGGTCAGACGAACTCAATGACCGTGAAGATAGACCCGAGAATGCGAATAAAATGGAGGACATAGCAAGCTGCAGCAGTTTTTCGTTCGAGCAAGGTGTAAAGCTCATTAGGCAGCTTGAGTGCTCAGGCCAAGTTACAAGTGAGTTTAGACGGAAGTTTCTCACCTGGTACAGCTTAAGAGCCACAGCTAAGGAGAAATATGTGGTCCAAACGTTCATCGAGACATTCGGGGAAGATACAAAAGCTCTGGCTGAACAGCTCATTGATACATTCTCTGATTGCATAACAAGAAAGCGTCCTGCGGTTGATAGTGGCATCTGATGATAAAGCATTGATCCAAGTCTTTTTATTTCAACTCTCTTTTGGACTATTTTGAAAGGATTCAACTTTTCTTTCTTCTTCAGTTGGGATTTTTTTAAGCATTATTTGATACAGAAGTTTTTTAATATTGATTTTGGATTTTGGATTTTAATATTTTCTCTACTTTGGTCAGAGTCTTCTAGTTTACCGCCAATTTTTGAAAATATTATACTAACGGTAATAAGTAACATTTTCTAAATAAACATGAACCTGAATCTTGTTGCTGGAGTGGGCTCTCCGTCAATGAAGCCCAACTAGAGCCTTTCAACTAAAGTAGAGTGTTATAAAAAAAAAAAATTATTTTTATTATACTAGTATTAAGGCCCATGGCTTTCGACGGACTAAAAAAACAATGTGTAATTTGGCTTAAAATAATATTTTTTATCCCACCGTCATTTATCCCCAAGGAGATTTATGTATCATCATCTAACCAAAAGTAAGAACTCGTTCTCCATTTTAGGGCTTATAGAATGTTCCACTAAAATAAAAAATAATTATTGTTAACGATACAACAGTCATAATACATAAATATTCAATCATAAATATTCAATCACAACTTATTTTAAAAATAAACTTTTTTAGAACCCCTTATAGAGTTCATCATTAGAAGAAGAAAAATTAATCATTCTTTAAGAGTTTCACAAATTCAAATTAATCATTAAATTTAACAAAAAAATTTGTTTTAACACTCCAAAATAAAAAGGGAGATGCTCTAATATATAGTTGAATTCAACGGCTTAACCCAACCAAAAAAACCTAAATAAAAGGGCACTGTTATTTGTAGAGTGCGCTCGCATCTCGTGAAGAATGCAAAGGGCCAAACTTTATTGCATGCATGCCTACTTTGCTTCGGTATCAGTAAACTTCTAAAACCAAAACTGACCAGAGAACTCTCTTTACTTTACTATTCTATTCGTCGTCTCTTGGGACCATTTCCTCGTCCAATTATGTTATCTCTTTTACAAACTCTCTCGACGAACCTCTCTTATAAAACCAACAAATTTCATTATTTCTCCCCATAAATTGAGTCAATCAAAACTTCTCGAGTATATAAACTGACATTAATACTCGTTTCAGCTTTTTACAATTATCATGTGCCAAATAGTTATAATATACTTAGCAAATTATTATTTCATCAAAAAAAAAAAAAAAAAAAAAAATTATTATTTCATTCTAGCTAGAATCAAGTCATTTGTGTTTATATGACTTATTTACTTTGTTTCTGTCGGTTGAATTATGTTTCTATTTACAAATCTACATATCTTCCTATTCATCTTTGTTGATTTAGAGACAGAGAAACAACAAAAAATTTCTGGTTTTGAGACATTTGTAAATATAAAAAATTGTACTTTCCCTATAGCGTTGGGAAATTTACAAAAAAATGATCTAATGATTTAGAAAATAATAATAATAATGAAAGAGAGTATAAAATATAGATGTATAGCATTCAAATGATTTTGGGGACCCAAGGTCTTATAACAAAAATAGCTAATAAGCCAAACCTTGTAGTCATGTCTGAAATAATAGATTATGATTGGTGGTGACTGGTGGCTATACTGAATAATGATTTATTACCAAAATGAATCTTACTACTAATTTTTCATTTACATGTTCAAACTATAATGTTCAAATTATAATGCAAGATATATATCATATATCAACCAAATTAGAATTTAGAAATATGAGGAGAGTATAATTAATTCGGAATATAGCAGAATTAGTTAGTTATATAATCGATATTTGATCATCAGTACCTTTAGATAAATAGATTGTAATAATGTTAAGCAACTTCGATAAGGATCTTCCAAAATTCACGGGTTATAATGTTGATATATATATAAGACATCGTCAAACAAATATATATATATTTTTATAATAAAAAGTAAAAATCCAATAGTATGAAATGAGAACAGCTTAGGGTGACAACAAAATGTAAGGTTGTAGTCGTTGTCCAATATAAAGAATCGAGGTCTCTCAATGGAGAATGGGTTTAGGCTCTCGTGAATAAAAAGCAAAATGTCGCAGTCTTGTTAGCTTTGGTTACATATACACATATGTACTCTTCTTCTGTCTTCAACCTTTGATATTTTCTTTCAATAAAATGGTCATCGACCGACGCTCTTATATTTCTCCTTCAAATATATATATATATATAAAAGAGTTTTGGTCGTATATATTTCTATATAAATTTGCAAGCAAAGAGTTTTGGTAGAAGAAATTTAGCTGAAAAAATCATATATATTCTTACAAGAAAACAGTTTTAACTTTCATATGTAATGGAAATGTGGTATAGATTTTAGGGTATAATTTTTAGAAGTTGGGTTTAGTGTTTAGAATTTAGAAATTATTTTGAATGTTAAAAAAATTAGTTTTAGTTTTGTGGTATTTTTGGAAAAACATGTATTTAAATTAATTATATTTATAGAAAATTAAATTTATAATAGTATTTTTGGAAAAACAAATACTTATTTTCATGGAATTTAAGACAATTCTACTTTAACTTTTATACCGTATAAAAAAAAAATTCAAATTAAAATTATGTGAATATCCTTTCTAGATAAGACCTCTCGGATAAAAATAAAAATACAAAGGTTCGTCTAGTAAAAACTTAATGTACGTTCTGTCAACTTATTTTATTAATTAAGTATCATATTTAATTAACAACGTCGCTTTCACAAACAAAAACCTTATCTCAGTAGACATTAAGTAAACTGTTCCATTCACAGAGATCGATCAATCATGTCTAAGTAAGTGCCATGCGTCGTCTTCTTATCTTTTTGAAGTTGATGTGATGCCGTAATTAATATTAATTAATTAAGTATTATACATGTACGTATCGTCCAACTAATATATAATAGCTATAACTCAAGGCCAATAAACTTTAGACAACTTGAATAATTTAAGTAGAGAAGAGACAATCAGAAGAAGATGAAACATTCAGTTGAACTGAACATGTGTTTTGCTTCTTCACTTGTTTTGGTAGTTAGATATATCAACATACACTGATGTCACTTGTTTTGGTAGTTAGATATATCAACATACACTGATGATACACGTACGTATACTAATATTGCAATATTTTATATTAGCTGCATCTTCATTTTTAAGTAATTCTTTGTAATGACACACATAATATTTTGTGCTTTAATTTTATGGTATTCCAGATTTGAGATTTAAGTATTTATATAATCGTCAAATAAACTCAAGAGGGTTGACCTCTAAGTAGTGCTCGTATTTATTTGTATCTACCTCTCTATGCTTTAGTATAATTATGCTAGTCCCTTTGTATACGAAAGTTTTGTGTTATCCTAATTATAATCAAAAGATTCTACATTGCAAATTAAGCAACTCTGCTTTAAATGATAGGGCAGAACCATAACCTTGAAAGTAAGATAACCTAATATGAAAAATATATATATATATATATATATATAAATAAATAAAAACATAACTTATTTATTTTGCATACTGTTAAGAACTTAAGATATGTTGTTTACACTTGAGAATAAAATGTAATTTGTTTTTCTTACAACCTTTGTAAATCTTTTTTTTTTTCTGTCAACTATAACTTCGAAAATCTTTAATATTATCTCCTGATTTGTACCACATTTCGTTTACAAACAACCTTTTTCGTTTTTTTGTTGGCGTTTTCCCTTGCAATTATAACTTCGAAAATATTAATATTTTTTGTAAACCAATTCTAAAATCTTTAATAGTGTGTGTATAAATAATCACAAGATTTCAACAAATAAACACATATATAAACACGAAAATTAATCAAGTCATTGTTCAAGAACTCACACACACACACAAAAATGATGAATTTGTAATTTTACAGTACTTACAGACACAAATAAATTTCCTCTAATAGTAACCCTATAGTGATTAATTTTTTACACTTACACTTATACACACACACACACACATATATATATATATATAAAAGTTGAAATATAAAAAAGTGATTAATTTTGCTCTAATAGTGATTCTCTAGGATTTGGGCTAGTAAAACTGACGAGGAATTCCCAAGTAAAAGCGCAAGATTCTCTCGCCAAAGGCGATTTCTTCGTAGCAGTTTTTTAGGCCACAAAACAACCTCCATCAACTCAGATCTCCGGCCGGCGCTGGCTTCTCCGGCGTCGGTCGGTCCTTTTCTGTTTTCTTCTAGTTTTCATCTTTCCTTCTTTACAGATTTAAGTAATTTACTTGGCAAAATCAGAATCTCAAGTTCTCGTCGTTTTATTGATGATGGTGGTATATATGAATTCGATGAGAAATAATTTCACGGCTTTAATTCTGGTACCATCTCTGACTTGGGTAGCGTCTCAACACATTCATATTTCGTTGGGAGTTTTGAATCCAAGTTTGACAAGCGTCGCATCGGTTGGTTTCAATTGTGAACGGTTTTCTTCTCAATTTTGTTTTGTCCTTCCGTTTGGTAGGTTTATTCCCGGCGTTTGCCGGTGGAGTTTCCGGTTTGTAACCGGTGAATGTCCTTCTGCTCATTGGTATGGAGGTTTCACTTTGGTTTTTGATCCCGGAATTCGTACAGTAACAACTTTACTTAACGGTTTTGGATTTCTTAGAGATTGTATAGGAAATCATGAAATCATTTTTGGAATTACTGATATTCTGATGACTTTACCGGTGGATTATATACAAGAGGCAGTGAAGAATCATTTCTTCCTTGTTATGATGGCTTTGCTTCCACTGAAAAAGAACCATTGCATTATAGATCTTCAATTGGCACGATGGTGGACTGTTGGTGATGATGATTGTTTTGTCGTATCAAACTCATCACAAATTATTTCTTTATTGGAAGTAACCAAGAATGTATTACTATGTCAAGGTCTTTGGTTCTCTTCGGTTAGAATGATGCATTTTTCAGATTCTGGTATGACAATCTCCTCAGAGGATGCTACAGTCAAAACTACTACTACGGTACACTTATTTATGATTTTATTAGAGAAAATTACAGAGTTGAGTTTCTTCATAAGGACTTTGGTACGGAAGTTTTGGTGCCACCATGTCTACATTTCAGAGTTATTTATGGACACATCGGGTTTAAAATTACAGTCTGTGAACATAAAGTTCAGCCACAAGTTGCTGCATGCCGATCGTAACAAAGAGAAATCAAATATGAAGTTGGACAATAACGGATCTATTGGTCGGTTAGCGAGTAAGACTACTCTTTAGAAAGCATCGTCAATCTCCCTTCTGCTGTATTTTTCTTAGTGTATGACATATATCTGCGTATGTAATAATTGTGCTCTAGTAATTCTGTAAATTTCTTTGTAATAACTCATTTAAATCAATGAAAAGCTGTTTTTGCCGAAAAAAAAAAAAAAACTGACGAGGATTGTTAGGCCGAAAGAGAATGCAAAATTTGGACGACCTAATCGTAGTTTCACTTAAATAAGCAAAATATGTTAGGCTTGACTTTTCAGAATTTTAAAGAGAGATTTAAAAGAATCCATTATATCTCTGTCAAAAGTGGCATTGTTTTGTTTTGATTTTTTTACTTCATTAACTACTACTCGACAATAAACTGACCACAATTATTTGAAGAATCCAAGTGCACCAATAGACTCACCCTAAATATCTAAAATGCCATTAACTCAATAGATTCTTATACGATGTTTCACAATATGTGTGTATGTTTCTACTACTGCATAGGTTTTGTAGCCAAAACTCAATATACGATGTTACGTTTCAAAATTAATTGGACATGGTATCCTATATCATTCATTTTGTCCCTATCCAAATGCTTGACAAAAGTATTACACTATATATCCTTTACTTTTACCACATTTCGATTACTTATCTATCTTAAACGTTCCAAAAAATCTATACCATCATAAATTTATGGAGTGAAGATAATACAAAATTACACTAATATTTATAGCGCAAAACAAATATATAACTAAATATCCAATTTTTAATAGATGTTTGAATGTATAACATTCATCAATTAATATGAAAGATATCGATCCGAAAAACCTTGAGACATTCACGTATATAAAAAATGTGATATTCTCTTTGCGTATACTCGTAAAAAAATCTTTAATGTTATCTCATAATTCCCAAATTTATACAAGAAAAATAAATATATATAGATGATGAAAAAAAAAAGAGAGAAGCTCAAAAAAGAAAGAAAGTAAAATGGAGAACATGGATATCGTCGAGGGAAGCTACCTGCCTTGTGAGATAAAAAAAGCATAAACATAAAAAAACCATTAAAGTCTCACCCACACACACAAACACAAAGTTCCTTCTTCATTTGTCTAAAAGTGTAACAACAACAACACTACTTACTTCTTCTCATAACTCCCAAATCGCCAAAACGCCAAACGCCAAACGCGGAACGCCAATCACTGTTTCTTTCTTACGTTACCTAATTCTCTGTGGTCGACCTCACCGTAAACCTTCACCAACCCAAAATTTAATTCTTCTGTGTTTTTATTCACAAAGTACAAAAAAACAGACAGATAATTATATATTTATATCTCTCTCTCTTCTCTCTCTCTCATCATCTCTCTTCTCCTAAGCTCTGTCTCTTCTTCTTCTTCTTCTTCTTCCTTCTCCTCTTCTGTGCCATTGACTCACAAATGAAGTACATTCGAAGCAACAGCTTGAAACGTCTCTTCTCCTTTAAACGACGTAGTTTCGACTCCGACTCTGAGAACTCGAACTCGACTCCTCACACGGCTTCTTCCACCAAATGCGTCGAGGGTTTTCAAGAAACAGAGCAGTTTCAAAGACCCAAATGGAAATGTTTCTCCTTTGAGGAAATCTACGACGCAACCAACGGTTTCAGCTCAGGTCAACAAAATCCCTCTTGTTTGGTCTCGTTCTTCTAGAAACTTCACTTCCTAATTAAATGTCACTAAAAAGGGTTTTGGTCTTTATAATATTTGCAGAGAACTTGGTAGGTAGAGGTGGGTTTGCAGAGGTGTACAGAGGGGTGCTGAGTAACGAAAACTGCGAAGAGATAGCTGTGAAGAGGATAACAAGAGGAGGCAGAGACGATGAGAGGAGAGAGAAAGAGTTTTTAATGGAGATTGGAACAATCGGACATGTCTCACACCCTAATGTCTTGTCTCTTCTTGGTTGTTGTATTGACAATGGTCTCTATCTTGTTTTCATCTTCTCTTCTAGAGGCTCTGTTGCTTCTCTCCTTCATGGTAAGTAACCACAATTTCTCTTGAACAAGTTTATGTCCCTTATGATGTGTTGTTGTTACAGTTCTTGAAGTTGTGTTTGTTGTGTAGATATGAATCAAGCACCATTGGAGTGGGAGACAAGGTATAAGATTGCAATTGGGACAGCAAAAGGGCTTCATTATTTACACAAAGGTTGTCAGAGAAGGATCATACATAGAGACATTAAATCCTCTAATGTTCTCTTAACCCAAGATTTTCAACCACAGGTCCTCTTTTGATTATACTGTTTCATTGTTCTAATCATTGAATTATATAATATGAAAAAAAGAATCAATGATTTTGTAGATATCTGATTTTGGGTTGGCAAAATGGCTGCCTTCTCAATGGTCTCACCATTCCATTGCTCCAATTGAAGGCACATTTGGGTACTATTTACTCCAAAGTTTATTTCTATTTTTAACAAAGTTTTTTAATAATAATAATAATTAAAATTCATTTCTAAAAATAAACCAAACAGGCACTTAGCACCAGAGTACTACACACATGGGATTGTAGATGAGAAGACTGATGTATTTGCTTTTGGTGTGTTCTTGCTTGAACTCATTTCTGGTAAAAAACCTGTTGATGCTTCTCATCAAAGCCTACACAGCTGGGTAAATATTCTAAATTTAACCCCAATTTTATTTATGATTTATCGGTTTTATTATCTCACAAGTTATCTTCTTTTTTTTTTTTTTGGTTTGACTAATTTCCAAAACTGCATATACTTCCAAAGTGTGATTGGTAAAAAATTTGGAAAAATTTGTACAGCTGTTTAATCATTTTTTACATCATAGAATTTTACCAATCAAAACTTTGTACTCCACCAATAATAATAACTCAACATTTTAGATGTTTTAGGTTAACCCTGAACACCTAAATATCATTACAACCTAATAAAATGTATTATGATAGACTTTATTGTTATATATTTCGATGTTTATATAAATATTTATACATTGAATTTTTATTGTAATTCAGGCAAAACTGATTATAAAAGAAGGAGAGATTGAGAAGCTGGTGGATCCGAGGATCGGTGAAGAGTTCGACATCCAACAACTTCATCGAATAGCTTTCGCGGCATCTCTCTGCATCCGATCTTCGTCTCTATGTCGACCTTCCATGATCGAGGTACGTTCATTAAGCTCATTAATCATAATTATTAATAGTAATTAAGTAGTATTACTTCAATATATATTTGGTAGTTTTAATTTTCTTCGTATTAGAGTGAGTCATTAGTTTGTTTTCTTCCCTTAGCTTCATTCATATAACTAAAAACCTTATTTGGGCAACTTAAGTGTCATGAAAACTATAGTTTGTTTTTTTATTGTTAAAGAAAAAGTTTAGTATTTATGATTGGTTTATAAAGAGACGTAATCGTGTCGATATGTTACTCAACGATCGCTTTTCTAGTTAGCTCATCGGCTGCGTGACCATAAAAAATGTCTTTGGTCATTAACTATAACCATCTTTATTTAATAACGACATATACATCAAACATTTATAATAATGTTATGTTGCTTTTTCTTTGAGCACCTTTTGAACTTTTCAATCTAATTAAAAACATAGTAGTTTATAGGATCGACGACCTATTTCCCCCCGAGAACTATCACATCGTATCAGAACAACACAAAACTTCACTCTCGTCTTTAGTCTCCCCGAATTGATAGTTCTATTGCTAGTTCCACCCGAATCAAAAGTTCTATCTCTATTTCCACCCCGATATCATAGTTCTCATCCAATTTTCCAAATGTGTGGGTTTAATCGTTTAAAAATTGGGTTACTGTTTTGATTAACCGAAGAACGAATCCAGTGACCGGATTAAACCTAATTCGACCCGATTAAAAAACTTAACCAACCCGATTACAAAATTAAACAAACAAACCCAAAAATCAAAAAACCCCAAATCGATTTTTCCCCTTTCTCTCTCGAGAAACCCTAGTCGAACCCTAGAATCTGAAATCGAATCGATTCAATCGATTTCTTCTTCTCAATCGAGTTTTTCTTCTTAATCGAGTTGTTCTCTCTCGTGGCGCATGCGATGGCGTTAGCTATTCCCGAAGGCGACATCCCTCCTGTTGAAGAATACGATCCTGAAGCAGAGGATCGAGATGAATCGTTCGTGGAGAAGCTTGCCCAAGATTTCACTGAAGCTGAAGAGCCAATCCTTCACGATGTTTACCCAGATAGCGACGACGAAGCTGGAGAACATCGTGGTGGTGGAGACAGAGGGACACACATCAACCGTGGAGATGGGACGATGTACGTAGGGCAAAAGTTCTTCAATGGGATCGCGTTCAAGGAATGTGTCACTGATCATGCATTGCTAACAGGCTACAATTTGAAACAATACAGGTACGATAGGGATAGACTCGGGTTTAGGTGTGTAGGTGCTAAGGGTAAATGCGAGTGGAAAGTGTATTGTGCATCTTTGCAAAATGAGTCAATGTGGAAGGTTACACGATACAACAATAAGCATATCTGTGTTGCTAATGGAGAATGTGAGATGTTTAAGGTGCCAGTTATAGCAAGGCTGTTTCTTGACAAGATTAGAGAAGATCCTGAGTATTACATGCCTCAGAAGATGGAACAGATTATAATGGAGAAGTGGAAGATTTCGGCTACTAGACCTCAGTGTCAAGCTGCTCGGAGAAAGGCCTTGGCTTGGATTGAGCTGGAGTATGATAGTCAGTTTGCACGTCTAAGGGATTATGCAGCTGAGATATTGGAAGTAAATCAAGGGTCTATTGTGGAGGTTGACACGATTAGGAATGAAGCTGGCCAGGACATTTTTAACCGCTTCTATGTGTGCTTTGATGTGTTAAGGAGAACTTGGAAAGAGAGTTGTAGGCCACTAATTGGAGTGGATGGTTGTTTCTTGAAATCAAAGATCAAGGGTCAGTTATTGGTGGCATTAGGAAGGGATGCAGACAATGCTATTTATCCAATAGCATGGAGTGTTGTTCAGGTTGAAAACACTGACAATTGGCAATGGTTTGTCAAGAGACTGAAGATTGATCTTGACTTAGGAGATGGAGATGTGGGACTTAAATAGCAAGAGGAGTGGTGTTGAGATGAAGGAGAAGCACAATGAAGACTTGTCTGTTTTTTTGTATGGTCTTATTGTGTATTTAAACCTGTTTAGGATGGTCTTATGGTTTTGTAAAACTTAACTAATGTTCTCTTTTGAAACCTTGATGTATGGTTTTAGCAAACTTAACTAATGATGTTCTGTTTTACAATCGATTTAGAGTGTCTTTGAAGAAGCAGCAAACACAGAACATTACCAACCAACAAAGACAATCATAATCCATTACAAATAAACACCAATTACCAAGCATTACCAAAGAAAATCCATTACAAAACAAACAAGCATTACCAAAGAAAATCCATTACAAAACAAACAAGCATTACCAAAGAAAATCCATTACAAAAAAAACAAGCATTACCAACCTAAAAACACGATCATCTCATCCAACTAGCTTAACTATGCCAATCATGATCATACAACCTAAGACAATCCCAATTAGCATCTTATTCATCCTTGCTTGCATTAGTGATTTCACATCTTCAACCTTCTCACATAACTCTTTCTCAACTTCCATAACCATCTTTTTCTCAAGCTCCACCATCACATTCTTCTCAAGCATACCAATCTGCTGCTTCATCTTCTCAACCTCATCCAAGAGTGCCTCATCCACCCACTTGAAGACATGATTATCATTCTCAAGCTATTTCAAAAATTAGAACCGTAATGAGAACCAAAATTAGCATATCAAGCAACCCAATCCAAAAGCAAGGAAAAGAACTCGCATTACCTTCTTCGCATAGGCATATCCACAACGAACATATCTTCGACAAGGATTTGCATCCGAGTGAGAGTTTTTGGCCACAATATCTTCTCCACACCAACATCTCTTGGGCACACCAAACACATAAGTCCTTCCTCTACCTCGCACATGAGATGAAGAATTCGAAGCTCCTGAGACATTACTCATGATTCTCAGAGTTCAATTTGGGGATTTTCGATTTTGGAGATTTCGATTTTTAGGGTTCTTGAGTTTCAAAATTGGGGATTTTAGAACGTTAAACGACTATCTGTTATAATCTGGATAGCTGGATTCGGGTCGGGCATGATTTTTAATCGGGTCTTAAATTGGTTTCAAACCGTGTTTCTATGGTTATCTATCGGGTTTGGTTCGAAAACCATGTAAACCCACGCGATTGGGGAAATAGAGATAGAACTTTTGATTCGGGTGGAACTAGCAATAGAACTATCAATTCGGGGAGACTAAAGACGAGAGTGAAGTTTTGTGTTGTTCTGATACGATGTGATAGTTCTCGGGGGGAAATAGGACGTCGATCCAAATAATATATGAAAAGATCAATTACCGACACCTAATCTTAATCAGAATCACATACAAAACAAAACAAGCACTATAGTTCTATTGTGATTATTGTTAAATAATGAATGATTATGAAGAAAAAGGTATTATGAAAGAGGCTCATTTACCGACACTTAACTTTAATCAAATGCTAGACTAGATTAGCTGCCCTTTTATACGACTTAATCAAGAAAATGTTACTGCGTTCTAAATTATATAAGATTGATTGTTATAATATATATTCATAATTGCTGTGTTTATGATACGCATTTAGGTATTAGAAGTGTTACAAGGAGAAGACATAGAGAAGGAGAAATGGAAAATGGAAGAGGAAGAAGAAGTGAAAGAAGAGTTTTGGGGATATGAAGATCTTGAGGATTGTGAATGTGATTCTTCAATCTCACTCTCTCCTCCTGACTCTATCTCTAATCAAAGCTCTTCACATCGTAGTCGCTAGATCTAAAAATATATTAGTTGTATAATGTTGAAAAATCAATTTTGTTTGTCTCTTTCTTTTTATTGTATATATATATTTGTTTAGAGTTGTCTATTTCATAAACAATTGAAGTATTCAATGAGGTGTTTTATTTTAATTTTTGGATGTCGACAGATTACAAAAACTCTATCCAAGAGTTTGCAAACTCTTCCCATAGTTATGATATCATCATCTCAGTAGAAGACGATAAGAGCTAGGGTCACGTTGTTTTGCATTTGCTAATTACATTAAAGAAAACACAAATCGTTTTTAATCATCAGATCTCTTTTGAAAATTGTAATGCACAATGAAATAATGAGTGGTCATATCGAATAATGTTATTACAGTCTACCCAAATTAAGAAGTCGATATATATATATATATATATATATATATATATATATATATATATATGTCTTTAAGATACCCTGACTCAACCAATTTGAGCATGCCACAAACCTAGGATACCATATGATGATCAATGAATGATTCTAATCTAAAACCAAAAACATTAATCATTGTGTATTTACATAATTTGTTTGTTTATAATAATAATGGAGTTCTTGGATCAATACAAGAATAATAAGTTAAATGTGGATACTTGTTTGGTGGGGGAGCCCATGACAGGTGTACGGCACACACAATTATCTTTAAGTATATGCTTTTGTGTGTTTACTGTTTAGTGTTTAATGTTAATACGATAAGCCATTTGATCTTTATATCGTCTTCGTCACTTAACTAGTTGAGCTTGAGTGTTACAAATAGTTTTATATATGCCATCACTATTTTTGGTAGCCAAGGAACCATAATACTAACTAGGTAGACGAGTTTAACTTCTTTAATTGGCACTAATTTAATCTCTTAATCATCCTTTTTGTGGTTAATAAAGTTTCTCTGCAAAGTTGGCTAGCCAATTCAACCACATCTCTATTTATTTACTTTTTTAAATTAGAAAACTTGAATTAGTCTTGGATAAATAATTTGTTGTGTTTAAGGACAAACAATAATCTTTTTTCTCATCTTTTTCATCTCTTTCTCAAAAGTAGAAAGCTTTTCCAATACGTAACACAAACCTTACAAAAACTATTGTCCTACATGCATGTGGAAATAAAATTAAAAAGTTTAGTGTCCCCAAGGCAATAACCTTTTTTGTGTACTTGAAGAATAATTACCTCAACATACTGGACCACCCAAAATAACTTATAAAACTATTTATTTTGTATTCTCAACTTTTCCTAATAATGCAAGATGTTACTAAGCAAAAATAAATAATATAATGCAAGATGTTTGTTGAAATATTTGGATTTAGGAATAATTTTCTTCTGGTGGGTTAGGAGCACCTGACTCGTTTCACAATTATTGAGAATCTAAAGTAAAAAAAAGCAAAGGTTCCAAATTGTTTTGCTTTGATATATTTTTGTATCAGTCAAACCGAACACACTTGGTTAGAATTAGAATCCTGCATTTTTTGAGCCAAAGTATGGAAGGAAGGTAGCAACAACATAGACCGAACCGAATCTCACAATAACAAAAAAGCTACAAAATTTCATGAACAAACTCAACAACTTTGCTAACCAAAGATGGCTGCAAAAAAAATGAGCTCTTTTGTATAAACCTTATAAAACTTTTCTTTGGTGTAAGTAAGGTCTCATTCCACAACGGCTGTTCTTTTCTCCATTAGGGACTCGAAGAACTCAGCACATAATTTCTCTAGTGGCGGGAAATTTAGAGTAGAACCGCTGAATATCGTTTCCCACGGTCTCTCTGACGATACAAACGGTGTTGCCAACGACTCAGCATCCTCCATTCTCTTCTTGTCGTAGTCAGGTAACTGCCCATACAAGGATGTGTACCCGGCGTCTCCTAAAAGATAAGAGACTTTCTCGATTAACAGCAAGCTAAATTCAATAAAGTTTGTTTCTTACTTTGTTTAAGAGCTTTCTTTTACCTGTCTCTTCCTGACCAACAAGACCGTCATAGTCAACAGCGCTACGCTCGTGTGACTCATCGCTATTGGGATCGAAAACAACATACTCATGGTTTCCATTTACATATGCAAGGCGAACCTGAGTCTTATCTCCTTCTAAAAATGAAATTGATCCTCCCTTAGCCTGAAATTTAGACATGGTATAACTCATTGGCTTTATCTCTCCTTTATAGTTACGTATATGAGCAGGATTTTTCTTTTGTCATACCTGCATCACAGTCCATATAGATACTGGCTTAGGATCTGATCCGTTAAATAAAAGAATGGCACCATCTCTACTGCGGAAGATATTCTCCTTAGATTCATCCGTTTTAAAGGATTTTGGAATCAGAGCCAATACTGCAAAAGACGATGAATCCACTGCGGAGGTGACAGCTACAAAACCAGAAGAGAAATTGGCTACAGAAAACTTAACAAGAATATCATGGAGAAGTTAAAGAAAGTGTTGTAATGTATACCTTCTATGCGTAATCCATATGACCATGACAAAGATAGCTTTGATGCATTCCAAACAGACAATTCAGGTCGCGGAAAATGAGATGCAGCAACAAGGAACTCAGATTTCCCAGCAAAACAGAGCTTTGTGATAGGCTGGAATAAATTGGAGGTTTAAACTGAGAGGTTTAAGCATTCATCTTTGTGAAAAAGGTTCCAATTTTTTAGTGGACAACTGCAAAATTAATTACCGTCAGTGTCGCTCCTAGAACAGACAAGAGTATGTTCTTGTCTGGATTCCAAAGCGTAATAACATTCTCAGCCGCAACAGCCAGAACAGAGCCATCCCCTGAGAAAGCAGCAGCAGTCATTGGCTTCTTCCTGCAAAGGAACGAGAATATTAAATTTTGAGGAAATAATACGTGAATGTTGAAGTTTCCTAATTCATACAGAAGCAATTACTTGTAAGAGCCAACTGCGTGACATATCCAGCTAGAGTCCTTATCCGTCTGATTCTTCTCGCTGTTGCAAACCCAAATCTGAAACAGCAAATCTGATATCAATAACAACAAAAAAAGAAAAAAGAGATACACAAAGAGATGTATGTAAAATCAGTTTAAGAACTACCTTAAAGTCCCCACCAAACGATGTACTAACTGCCATGCGCCGGGTAGGGTGAAATGCAATGGCTGAGACACCGGCATCCCTGTAAGATATACAGAAGGAGAAAAATTACTCACTGTAAAGGACATTGTTTGTAGACTAAATAGGAGAAATCGATATCTAGATTTGCTAGGTTTATAATGAATAATAAATAACAAAAAAATTGGGTAATGATGAAAAATGAAGCAATATCCATTAGCAGGGTGAGTTATAAACCTGTGAGGTTCATATACGATTGTGGATAAGGTGAAAGTTTTACTGTCTGGTTCAGACATCCAAAACTTGAGGGACACTAAGCCTCCTATGCCGTCTTCAGGAAGTTTCACCTCGGTTGTACTCATCACTGATCCATCGAGGGAGAGAGCAACCGCTGTCACCACAACCTATTACCATATCCTCAAATTATCACCAATTGAAAAAAAAAAAAATAGATATAAAACCATATATAACGGCAAGAAGATGTACTTACTGTGATTTCATCACCTGGTTGATGGTTTCTCTCACAAACTTGAATCTGCAAAACCATTAGTTACAATAGTAATCTGACAGTCAACACATCAGCATAGAGAATTTTATAGACAACAGAAAGTGGAAAAGAGCTCATTAGGGATATATTTGAGCCACTAACCTCTGATATTCCTCGGTCATTAAGAAGATTGTATAGCTGAACACAATAATTCTCTGTGCACAAAGCAGCTATGCCCGAAGATCGATCAAAAGCAACCGTACTAGCCAAGCCTTCATACATCCTAGGCAATGATGGGGGAGGCTGTAAACATAACACACATTGAAATAAATTCCAAAGGAAAAGAAGATCAAGAGAGGTTAGCAACTTCCCAGATTTAGCAGTTAGTGGTTAATTAATAAGTTTCTAAGACAAACCTTGATTCCAGAAATGGTCCTTAAGATCTCCATCGAAGGCATTTTTAGCAAATGGATCTGATTATCTGCACAAACCACCTGCAGCTCTCGTTCTTAGTTAAATCAGAAAAACATTCCTTCTGGTTTCAGCAGGCTGTGTGTTAGATGGGATTAAAACAGTAGGCTCTGACTGACTTACAGAAGAAAGAGTTGGATCTTGAGACCACATGAAATACAACAAGGGAGACCCTATTCTTGGTAAAAATTTCTTCTTCCCTGTGTCTAGCTGCCAAACAACAAGTACCCCTTCCCTTCCCCCTAAAGAGTCACAAAGCACAAACAAGTCAGGGTAAGAACTCTGGAAGTAAATATCAAACAATAAGTCTTTTTTTCATGACCTATTAGTTTGTTAGGCTGATAAACTAATGGATATTAGCACAACATCATATAAACACAAAAACGGGAAATGTAAGTGCGAAATAACTCGGTTGCACCTGAATACAAATATGCTCCATCGGAAGAGAAATTAAGGACATTAACTTCAGCAGAGTGCCAGTGCCATGTAGTGCAAGATTCAGCATCATCTTCACCTCTCACTCCAGCGTTATCCAAATCAACCATTGCTCTCACTTTTTTCTTTTGATTACCTAAGGCAAGTTTTCTATTACCGACTCCTCTCCAAATCAACACTCTTCCAGTCACATCTCCAGCAACTACAATTCTCTCCGTGGGATGAAAAGCAAAAACATTGATAAACTTCGAATGATGTAGTGTCATCTTCCTGGAAACCGCATGCCTTGATCCCCCAGAAGGAACATCCCATATATGAATTTTGCACTTGTGCCGGATTCCAAAAAATTCTCCCGAGGGACTGATAACAATAGATTCTGGTTCTGCCGTCTACACAAAGAAATAAGAAAATGATGTAAGCTTGCACAATCCAATACTTTAGACAACAAGTCTTACCCCATAAGACCACTACAAAAAACTAACCTCTTTCAAAGTATCTCCACGAGGAATACGTGGTTTAGCAAGATTAAATCTTCGAATGTGACCACGCAACTCTTTAGACCCTTCTTTAACCACACTTGTATCCTCAACCGAAACATAAGCAACCAACTTATCAGATAATTGACGGCGTTTATCAATTTGTTGTTGAGGTTCACTCAAGAGAGAAGGAATAACCTAGAAGATCAAACAATACACAGATACATTCACAATCACAATCACAAAACACTAATCAAAAACCAAAAAGCATTCAACTTTTTTTTTAAAACTCACCATAGAGTAAATCGGATGCTGGGCCTCGATGGTTTTCAAAAGCTCAGGTCCTGAGAAATCCCAATGACGAACTGTACCATCAAGAGAGGCAGTCCAACAATAACAAAGTATCTTTTGAGCAGGACTCGATGCAGGAACAACGATTAGAGTCGTTACTGGAGCTGTGTGACCTTCAAGCGAAGTAACCTAAAACAATATTGGCAAAGAAATGTATCAAACAACGATTCTAATCGAAACCCTAAAATCTCGGAGAAGAATCAAAAAGATTTGGTACCTGTAAGCCAGTGGCGGCGCTGAAAACAGAGACAGTGTTTCCAGTGCAAACTAGGAGCTTTTTAGCGTCGTTGGAGAATGAAGGAGGTGAAGTTACGTAGCTTCTTCCACCGCGTATCATTGTTAGTTTCTCAATTTTCCGGCGAAGAAGAGGCGGAGATTTTGGGGAAGAAGAAGATGAAGATGAAAGGGAGACACGCAAATTTGCAAAAGCCCTAACTAAACCCTTTTTTTCTTCGCTTGTGTTATTTTTTTCCAACTTAATTTTAAATTCCAATATTATTTTCAATCGGTAAAAAATAGAAAAGACGTTAAAAACATTTGAGCCGTTGTCCGAAAGTATTTGGGCCTTTTTAATGGGCCTTGAATATAGCGAGGCCCGTAGATCCATAGACCCCGATAAATGATTCATCCATCAAATGAATCATAGCAAGTAGAATTATTTTTTTTTTCTTGACAAAGAACTTGTAAACTCTTTTGAATTGAGAGACATATAACATAAAAATTTAGAATATAATGATATTATAAAAAAAAAAAGGTAAATAAATGTTATTAAGCTTACAAGAAACCAAATGATGAATGCTGCATCTCCATCTTTTGGTTTGGAGATTTCACCATTGTTATACATAAAACTACAAAGAGCTGCTGCTGCTACATACATAGGTTTTAAAAAATATACCAAAAGAGACCTCTAAGGCTACAATGGATTCCATGATCAATCATCTGAATAACACTTTCGTCAAGACTCAAATCTTTTTAACTCTCTCAAGAGAACAGGTTTTGGAATTTGGCCAAATGGGAACGATGTTTATCATATATGGTTTACTTATACACTCTGTGCTTTCCCCGGCATCTCCTTTGCGTTCACAGCCTTCATATCCTGCGTGCGATTCAACAAGATGAGTGCTAAGTCCATGAGATGTATTTGAGGAACATATACACTTGATCAATGACCAAAGAGAGCAAGTCCAAAACCAATCCATGATGTGTTTTTGGCTACCAAACGCAATTCTAATCATTGATATAGGGTGAAGATCAATCAAGCTTCAAATATGTTGTTCATTAGCTTAGAAGCAAAAAAGCAAGAAGTAAAGGGCCAAACATAAAAACACTCGAACTAGCTTTGCTTCAAAGCTTACCAAAATGTACAGACATGAAAAAAAACATTGTCCGACCAACCAGTTAACTAAAAGGATGATGAATCATGTGGACTAGAGGACTCGATATCGATAAGAAACTAATAGAAAGATAGATTCAAGAACCACAAAAACTAGAAACTTAGAGAGAGAATGAAAAGGAAACAATAAACACATTCTATGAAAAAAGAGGATAAAGGAACACTTACTGATCCTTTGCTTTCGTAGTACTCATCCAAAGCCCACTGATACTTAGACTGGTTTAACCCAAACCATCTCACCAAATGATCATCCACACTTGAATGAGCTGTAGTCAAATTGTTTAAGCACACACAAACACACACAAGAATGTCAAAGTCACAATCTAATTGCTTTCAGAACCAAACCACCGAAACAGAATGAAAATCAAGATTTCATGGTACATTAGCAAATACTCTACTATCCATTTTACTTCACAAAGATAGAAACTTTACATCTATTTCCACCATTCTCAGTTTAATTTCCTAACCAATCAATCAAAAGGTATCAATATAAAACCAATCTCAAACTCAAGATCCGGAAATGAGGAAACTTTATACTCAAAAACAGTTAGATATTTCATCAGATTCCTCTCGTTTCTTACCATTCTGAACCTTGGTGACGGCGTTTTTCAAGAACCCCAAAACCGAGCCATCCTCTCCAGAAGCAGCCACCGATTTAAACTGCTGAGGCGGAGGAAGAACAGGAGGTGCCATCACAGGCTTCTGAGACACGGCAGAAGGAGATTCAGGTGGCTTAGGAGTAGCCGGCGGAGTCATAAAGACAGTGTAAGGACCGATTTTTCCTATAACAGGAGGAGGTGTTGATGGGTCTTTGTTGATCGGCATCTTGAAAATGGAAAAGAAAATTTCAGACAAGAATCTGAGGAAAGAGAAGAAGAAGAAGAAGAAGATGAAGAAGTAAAGGTTCTTGCTTGCTATGCTAGCTGCTAGTTGTAGTTTGCAAGTTGCAGACAGTGATAAAGTGAAAGATTGGTTTCAGAGACAGAGAGAGTGAGTCTTTTTTTTTTTGGTTCGTCTCTTTTCTTCTGTAAGTGTAAATGTACTTTACTTTTCACACTCACCAAAGAGTCAAAGAGACTCGTCACATTTCTTCCATTGCTTTTTCCGACGAATCTTTCTTTTTGATTATCTTTTAGTCTTAAATTTCCTAATAAATTGTTGTGTAGTGTGAGCCGTGGAGAGAAGATCCAATCAAACACAATCATTTAAGGATGTTTTGTCTTAACTAATTTTGGTTTATATTTCTCGATCTTAAAATTAAAGTTGAATGAGCTAAACAAAAAGGTTTGGATTTTTTTCTTAAGATCATTCGGCCACTTACAAAAAATTCACTAGAGAAGACAGGTATGTACAATCAAATTCGTAATATTACATATACAACAAAAAAAACCATTAAGTCAACAGATGAACAAAACATGGACGTATCATACTCACCATGTACAGAGCAATATGAACATGTTTTTGATCAATGGTATAGATCTTTCGTCCCAAAACATCTAATAAAAAGCCATTAACTTCATCACTTTGATCAACTGCTTGCAGTTGTAGAAGTTGCTAATAACAGTTCATGAGCTTCGTTTAGCATCCATTCTTCACCGGTCTGGCCACCTAAGACGACCAATCGAGTTCCTCCAACCACACAAGTTGTGTGTCCCCACGCAAACCTCGGTGGACTTCCCTGAACATTCAGTATTCTCCATGCCGGTTTCTCCTCTGTTGGATCAAGAAGATAAAGCTGAGAAGCTGAGTCAAGCCCTGCAACCGAACCACCAAAGATCAAGATTCTACCACCGGGAAGGCTGATCGCCACATGATCCAGCCTTGGTGGCGGAGCTGCCATGCCTCCCGGGAGGGTAGATCCATACCCAATCACAGGTCTCCAACTCGGCTCATCCTCGCTAAGATCCATCGTGTATACATCGTTAGAGCGGAATCTCAGAGAACCGTTTTTCGCAAGACCGCCAAACATGAGGATCTTGCGGTCACCGTAGACAGTTAGAGTATGTCCGAGGCGAGATGGAGGAGTCCATGGAACCGGTATTTCCCTCCAAGTTGGTATATCCATCGAAAGGTCAAGCAGGAACGTATCGCTGAGTAGAGCTCCTGAATCAGCACAACCACCTGATACTATCAGCTTAGTGCCATCAAGTGTGCATGAACTGTGCCACGATCTTGGTATCGGAGGGGCCAATCCGGATACTTCTCTCCAGTTCGGCGGGTCTGCATCAAGGTCTAATAAGAACACATCGTTGAGTAATCCATGACTCCCATAGCCTCCAAACACTACTAAACGAGATCCATTGACACAAGAAAGCGTGTGACCCCAACGACCTGGAGGAGGAGAGCTGACCAGAACAGATTTCCACTCAGGAGTACTCGAGCCAAGGTCCAACACAAATGTATCATTCATCGGCTGCATATTCACACCTTCCCCACCAAAGATAACAATCCTGTTCCCAACCGCGCATGCGCTGAAATTACACCTGGAAGGCTCAACAGTACCTCCAACCGAAAATTTCCTCCATGCTGTTGCTTCATGTGTGGTGAACTCTCGGGCCAGTCGCACCCAACCGATCCTCTTTGCACCAGGAACACTCTCAAGAACACGTGTTGCCTCAGTACCCCATGTGTTTTGACAGACCATTCTCCATACATCATCATTCTTTGTCAACTCATTGAGCCGCCGACACACACAACCAACCGATGCAATATCACCAGGAGTCAACTGTGACAATATCCTGATAGCTATGACCTCATCACTCAGTTCAAATATCCCACAGAGTCCACGAGAAACATTACGCTCTCCGATAGGTAAAGCAGTGGTGAATGAGCGAGATATTCTTGGGATATCTTTTGCAGATAAATCAGGAGATGGGCCGAGATCAATTTTTGCATCTGTGAAGAAGAGAACACCTATGAAATGAGTGATTTCATCTTCTTCACGGATAGGGACTAGACGCAGCTTGTTCATCAAGGGAGATCCATCTTTCCGAAAGTTGAGCAATTCGCCTTGAAACTCAATGCCATTTTCTAGACATTGTCGCATCTTCGACACAACTGTAGAATCTACCATTGGGTGCCTTCTTTTAGCATATGGTCCTCTACATTGCAAGAACCGGCTGCCAAAACAGATCAACAACAGCGCAACTCAGATACAAAACCCTCTTTTCACTTCATCAGAGTAAATAACTAACAACTAAACAACTATCAAACTATATGCATAATTAACATGAGAAACCAGATAAAAACCACTTCAATCCGACAATAATGGATTCCACAGAAACATACATACTTAGACGAAGACCAATACCCCAAGTCTATCAAATCGGGACATGTGCGAGAAACTATCAAAGGTGGCAGTTTCTAATCAATAATACAGAGCCAAACAAATCACCAGAAACTTGAATCTAACATATAATCCTCACATTATAGCTTTGCTCCTCTACTAGCAACTTCGAATTCAATAACAAGTCCATGATTCCAAATGGTTGTTCTAGCCAAGAATACTAAAAAATATGTCAATATAACCAACAAGAATCATAAGAATCAATCGAAATTTAAACTTCTGTCAAAACAGGTTCCAACAAGCTATATTGTAACATCGTACCAATAACACCAAAAAAGGTATAAGATTCGCTACAGTAACAAAATCATCGCCACAAATTTAGGGTAAAACTCACCAATTTCGACCAATAACTTCCTCAGCTCGATACCCAGTAACCATCTCGAAGACAGTGTTAACATAAATGATAGGGTTATCAGGTTCAAGAGCATCGCTGACCACAAACCCACACGGCGCTGTTCCAGGAAGACTACCAACCGGAAACGGAATCGCTCCGTTATCTCCGCCGAACCATCCATCCTCTGCAGCCACTTCATCTCCGCCGCTGAGATCGGAATCACTATCCCACTCCATTTGATTTTGCATACACACCCAGACCAAAATAAGAAAAGCTTAAGACTTTAGAAAAACCCACGAATCGTCTTCCTCACCAACAGGAGAAGAGACCCAGAAGAACAAATTTTGATTTTGAATCGAGCAGAGTAAGAGAAAGAGGAATCTGATATTTGTTAATCGAAGTCTCCACAAAAAAAAAGCTCAAAACTTTAGACAAACCCACGAATCGTCTTCGTCTTGAGCAACAGGAGAAAAGACTAAGAAGAACAAAAATTTTGAAATTGAATCGAGCGAAGAGAGAGGAATCTGATATTTGTAGGTAATGGAAGTCTCCACCGCCCACTTCTAGAGGAGAAGAAGAAGAAGAGAGATGATTCGGTCGGTCGATGACTCGGATCTTCTCAGTGCCTCTCCTTTTCCATCTTTAACCGGACCGGTTACTTAATTTTACCTTCCGGTTTAATTTACCTCTCCGGTTTACACAAAATATCCTGTGAGAGATTTTGATAAGATTTTTTCGTGGTTTTACCAAAAAACACTGTTGTTGGTAGTTTCAAATGTCTCTCTAGATATGAACTCTCATTCCTACAAGTACAAACACACATCAATCAATGTGTACATCCATATATCTAAATAAAGAGTATACGATTCAATGATTACTAAAGTTATACTTTATGCCGTAACAAAACAAGAAGTTGTACTCTATTTGTATGTACATGTGTAATAAAATGTTTGTTTGAAAGCCAAAATGTAAAATCACATAGATATGAAACAAGCAATAAGACATAATTAGTTGATATCAGTTTAAATCATAAAGCCAAACATTAAGCTCATGATCTTCTCATCTAAAGAGTAGAAACATGTAATTTTTTTTTATTCGTCCTTAAACATCAAAGTTTTGCTTAATATAAAAGTGAATGAAATGTAAAATTCAATACAAATAAGAAGAAAAAAAGAAACCCAAATCTACAAAAAGAAAATAAAAGAAAAAATATGTATATAACTGGTTTAGGATTCTAAATTCTCACGTACTCGGAGAGCAAGCCGTTGAATAGACTGATCATCAAAGCTGGCATCAAAGGTCTTAATCTTATACACAAAATCCATTGCTTCACTATACTTCCCTGCTCTGCAATAACCATCCACTACCATTTTAAAAGTCAGCTCATTTGGTCTGCAATTGTTTTTCACCATGCACTCAATCACATCTTCTATCTCTCCTAGCATTCCCATTGCCGTGTAACCCGAGACAAACGTGTTGTAAGTGAATATGCACGGTCTGATCCCGCGCTCTGTCATTTCAGACAGCATCCTAACCGCTTCTTGCATCAACCCTCTTCTACAGAAACCTTTGATCACCGTGTTGTAAGAGACCAGGTCTGGTTTCAACTGCGATTTTTCTAGGGTCTTAAGGATTTCTTCGGCTTTCCAACACTCTCCTCTTCTTACGTACATGTCCATGAGGCTGTTGTAGGTTACAAGATCCGGGTTCATCCCGTCCTTGCGAATAGACTGAAGAATCGCCTCTGCTTGATCGTACATGTTGTTCCTAGTGAAAATGGAGAGCATTGAGTTGAAAATCACCATGTCGGGTTTGTATCCGTGCTTTTTAAACAGTGTGAATGCTCTCTCTGATCCCGCTAGTGCTCGGCATTTGAAGTTTGCGAGAAGTAATGTTCTCAAAAGCATCCAGCTCGGGAATATTTGGCCCTCGTTTATCCCGTCCTCGATTCTCTCTATCCCTAGATAGTTCCCTCCTTTAGCATAACACTGAAGCATCAACGAATAAGATGTTTCAGTTGGTTTGAAACCTTTACTTTTCATGTCTGAAATCACATTCTCGCCTGATCTCCAATCTCCTTGTCTAGCCAAGGCATTAAGTAACGCGTTGTAAGTCGTAACACAAGCGTTGAAACCTGCTTTTGTCATCTCACCATACATTTTTGATGCATCAACCTCTGAACCACATCGCCCATAAGCACTAATCAGCGTGTTGAATGTATCCCTATCAGGTTCAAATCCGCAGCTCTTCATTTCACGGAACACCCGGTTCACGAACTTATCCATACCCTTATTCCCACACAGAGCAAGCATTGTGTTCCAAGTGGCTCGATTAGGGGAACACCCATTAGACTTCATATCACATAACATCTTTATCATTTCATTGGATCTCGACTTTTTCCCCAACATACTAAGCACTGCATTGTAG